ACGCTGCAAAGCTCGAGGTCGTGGAGAATGCGGTGGAACTTGCAAGAAAGCAGGTCCGGTCACAGATCCAGACTGTTGATGGGAGTTTGTCTTTGGACAGGCTGGCGAAGAGCTTCAGGTCAATGGAATGCTCCAAGCTGCGTGGAACCAATGACAGCAGTGTCATTTTCGTCTACATGGTGGAAGCAGCAGGCGAACATGAAAGGGACGCGCGGCGCTCACCAACACCAATACGGAGAGAACACATGGAAAAAGTCATCCATGCATGGATGTGCACCCGATCGGTAGATCTGCCAGACCTGGAGTCAGAGAGGGTGATCTATCCGCAGCTGCATGCCTCCGATGTGATTCTTGGATTGCATTTGACTCTGATTTCACGCCACCAAACTTCAGTTTTGTGCCTTTGAAGTTGGAGTCATCGGTTTCAGGTGTCTTTGAATTTTTGTGTCTTTTTATTGACTGCTGGGCTGAGGTACCTCTTCTGCGACTCCGGCCGTCAAGGAACCCAGCAGGCTTTCGTCAACACGTTCAAAGCTTGCGATGGAGCTCCATACCCCAAGAGCCTTTTTCACATGACCTTCAGTGAAGAATCAGTTCGAGACCATCGAAAGGCACCACAGTCATGCCTTCCTGATGCCATGACTTGTCAAAAACCGTCAGTGACATTCTCTGTCAGTGATGTTGAGAGTACACTCTGTCAGGCACGATCGGTAACTGGAGCCAGTCTTGACCGAGGAGTCTCTTGCCAGAAAAACCGAACATTAGTCGTCGCATGTGTCAGTCCTTGAAAAGTCGTTCATTGCTTTTGATTTGAGGTGTTCACACTTCCCCAGCTTGAAACGATGGTGGTGATGGCCGGTGATGCTCAGAGATTGACTGAGATTGTGGGTTCGCGTCGGAACTTACATCATTCCGGCAGCACGGCCGGGACATCTTTGCAAGAATGCATGAAGAGCACTCTGAAGGGAATCCCAATGTTGCCCACGGCAGAGAAGCACAAACTTCTTGGCAACGCGCGATGCAAAGATGACTCCAGGAGCACATGTGATGCCAAAGGTCTTGATCTCAGTTTTTACCTTGTCAGTGTCCAATTGTCAATGACGTTAATGATGCAAAAATGTCAATGACACTATTATTGATGGTGACACTGACTAGCCACAACTCCTTCTGTTTCAGGCCTTGACCAGCCAGGGCTTGAGCCAATTGATTGGGCCGTTTGGGACCCCCAACTGTTTGCAGAAGTGGTGGTGCACCGTTTCAAACCGAAACTGGTCGTGCTTGCAACGGCATCGTGTGCGTCAGTGCTGCCTCCCCTCTTGGAAGCACGGGTGCCGTGTGTGGCAGTCTGTCACTGGGCTCAGTGGATGAATCAGTATGAAGGTTCACGACAATGACAATTGAATCTAGTGTGGCGTTTTGTTACCCAAGTTAGAATTTGATTTGTCTTGAGATCTGAGGCTACACTGCAAAGCATGAGGAATGGTATCAGCAGCAAGCCAGTCAGCAGATGTTTCGCTTGATGGGAAATCCCAAAAGCACGCGCTACAATCCGGACGTCGCGAAGGCACTCAAAGATGCTACGGGCAAAGAAGATGATCAGAAGACCAAAGATGGAGACAAGAGGAAAGGCAGCCGTGGCGGCGCTGGGCAGAAAAAGCGCAAAAGCAAGGGCAGGGCCACTAAGAAAGGCAAAGGAAAGGGCAAGGGTCGTGGAAACAAAAGGCCACGAGATGCTGAAGACGACGATGACCTTGGAGACGAAGATGAAGATGGCTCTGGCATGGAAGGACCTGAAGATGCCCAGGACACAGCCTGCTTGCATCACTTACTTTCATTTAGCATTAAAGTCAGACATGTGACGCAACTTTTTTTGCACTTTTTCAGCACTAGTATTTTTTGAATACCAGTAGCAGTTTGCTTCAGGACAGTGAAGACCTTGCGGAAGATGGCCCTGAAGACGGCGATGATGCCGATGAGGAAGAGGAAGATTCGATTTGAAGGGCGATTGGATCGAAGTTTTGGAAGGCAGGAAGGGAGTAACAAGCTCTTGCAATCTCCTGCAACCTGTTGACAACATGCCATGCAGTTCGAAGACCCTGCACAACCAGGATTCTGATGGAAGCAGCTGCACAGTGCCCCAAGCTCAGCCTGACACATTTAAGTTTTAAGAGAGACATGATTCTGATCTCAATCAACCAAGCAACCAATCAAGCAATCAATCAGTCATCAATCAGTCAGTCAGAATGGTTGAAAATTGTTTTCACCAATGCAGGTTTGGGAAGTCGCTGCATACCTTTCTTGGAACCAGTCAGTGTCAGTGGGCGCCCTTAGATTTTTTTTTCAATGAGCACCATCTACCGAGTCTGGATTTCAGTTTGGTGCTGGCTTTTGGGTCAGGTAAAAACCGGAGCAGTTTTGTTTGCTGACTTATGAGGCTGGAACTTTTGCGATGCCAGCAGCTTTTGCGGCCCATTTGGCCAAGTCCCAAGTTTTAGCGGCTTGACACTCTGAATCTTCAAGTCAAAGACTTTGGCAATTGTTTTAATCCCTGGTTGCTTTGAGGTGCCTGCCGTGGCCTGTGTCCATTTGGGATCGGGACTTGCCTGGGAACCCAGCCAACTGTTCAGCAAGTCAAATTAACAATGACCCAGTAATGGCATTCTGCGTCATTTGAAGCATCACTGGCATGGGCCAGTTTGAATGTGAATCAGTGCAGTTTGAAAAGAGTGAAACCATTTTCTCAGCCTTTTTGGCTGGAAGGCTTGACGCCCACGGGAACCATTGCACAGGGACAAACACCATGGGGGACCAACCAGTAGTGTCAATGTCAGTGTCATTTCAAATCATGTTCACTTGGCACTTCACACCTGGCTTCTCTGACCGTTCCTTCTGCAGCCATGGACCGCATGTCTGATTTGAGCCGTTATTGGGATAACTTGATCAAGGGGATGGACGCCCACAAGTTGGATTACTTGCGTCTGAAGGTGGATCGCGAAATCTACTTGCTGCGGTTACTCAGCTAATTTATCATTGTATCAGTTCCATTTTTTTACGATGTCATTTTTCCACACTGTAACAGGCAAACCACAAGGATCATCATTGCTTTGACTCGTTTGATGTTTCTTGACCTGATCCAAGGCATCCAAAACTTGTCATCGAGATCCCAGAGTCATCGGACGAAGAATCGATTGAGGAGGAGGTGGAATCTGACGTTGAATGGGCAGCCGCTGTCCCAATCAGCGTCTGGAAGGGAGTCATCAGATGGCCAAAGCCGAAGGTGGTGCAGCAGAATGTGAAGGTCAAGAAACTACCCGTGATCAAGCCTACGAGGACGGTGCGGCCTTCCAAGAAGAGGAACTTGGGCTGAGGAAGCATTGTCGTTGAATTCATCAGTGGGCCGGATTGCGGCCAAACTGTTGGAATTTTTCTGTCATTCCAGTGGATCAGTGTCAGCGTCAGACTTTAACTTTGCCATGGGAAAAACTTCAACTTAGCCTTCGAATTTCATGTCAAATCCACTGGTTTTGCCATAGCAGTTTTCGTGTGTGAGCATCAGCAGTTGCCAGACTGAAGCGTCAGGCGCATTTTAAAGTTGCGAGTGCTTGCATGGCCAACGGCCGAAGAGCCTGCTGCGTAGCAAAAAAATGATGCCGAACTTTTAGTCTTAGCAGCCCTGACTTGCAGTTTGGATTACAGTTGTCACTGACGCCACTTGCATGACATGTCATTGACGCCACCTGCATGACACGGTCAGTCACTGACATGCGAGTTGCAGATTTCACGTGTTTTGATCTGAGGCTGGCACACTGCTGCTGATCGTGTTCCAACGCTGACCAAGGTTTAAAAAGAATGAGCTGAGCGATCGTCTTGCTTAGATGGTTTGCTGAATGACAACAGTGACGTCATCATGAATGTCATTGACATACTGTGTTGTGCCCCTACCATTTCTTGGCCTCATTGTTTTTATGGAACCGCCAAGTGTGTTCACAAATCATATAAAGAATGGTTTTGCACACACCAAGTCTTCAGATTTTGCGGCTTATGACTCGCTAAAAATGATATGATGACATGGGGTGTAAAGTTGCTGTTTTAAAGGTTAATGAAATGACCATAATGACCATCTGTTTGAAGCTGCTGTGCTGTTCCAACTTTTTTAATGTCAATGACGGTTCGTGGTTCTACCTGTTTGCAATTGGGTGTCAATGACAACTGCAATTTTAACGTGTACGTGTCCCTATCTCTCGATTATTTCCTTTTTATTATGTCCCTATTTATTATGTCCCTATTTATTTCCCAATAATGTGGCCAGTAACCATAAGCACCTGCTGCCCCTTTTGTTTAGGCTGAGACTGACTTTATCAATAGTAATCAACTATGATGGGGTAATGCGGGTAATGCCTTACTTCAAGCAAGGTTTTTTAATTTACCTTTTGTCAGTTTTCATCTTATCAAAAGGACCTCTGAGCTCACTCTCTGTGCCAATGCTAGTGAGCCGCGTGGTAGAAAAAGTGAACAAGGACAATGATAGACTTAGACTTAGACCTTAGACTTAACATATTTTTTTAAAAAAAATGCCAGCAAATAAAACAAATTGCTTAATGGACGGCCAGAATTGTGATTTGGGGGATTGCTTATTTTTGGGCTTACCACATCAACCATTATCAACTTATCAGCCAATCATTATCTGGTTGGTGGTATACCTGCCCCTCTGAAAAATATGACTTCGTCAGTTGGGATTATTGTTCCCAATATATGGAAAGTCATAAAAGCCATCTTCCAAACCACCAACCAGTTGTCCCTCTGGTTATTTAACATAGCCATGGGAAATGACCCATGTATAGATTGTTTACCTATTAAAAATTGTGATTTTCCATGGCTACGTTAAATAACCACAGGGTATCCCGGTCCCATTATATTTAAACTTGTGGTGGTTACTCGCCTACTTTGAGGGTGCCCCGAAGGAAACATTTTTTTGTTTCGCCATCGTTTTCTCGTCTCGCCTTCCGCGTCGGCGCGCTCACCGTGCTCAGTGGCCCGAGGTCCAGGTGGCAAGCTCCTTAAGCAGAAAATCATGTGAGATGTTGTTAAAATATGTTAAAATCACTATAAATCACTGTATTTGCTAAGGAACATCTGAAAAAAACGTTTTTACACAATGGTTTTCCGCAGCAAATCGATTGATATAATGGGTTTCCGGCGTTTCCGGTGAACATTTTCCCTTCAACCAATCCAATGAACCCAATGAAAATGAAGCCTCCTACCTTGGTCCAAACCTGCCCTGAATTAGATGCCAAGGGGCGCTGAATGTTGCCTCCCTGGTCGCACCGCCTCACGGTAGAATTCAGCTTCCGGCATAATGCGTTCGCCTGACATGCAGTGGATGATGGGGTTTCTGCCATGGTGTTTCGGCCTCAAAGAAATGGATGCGTACTGAGTTCCAGTGGATGAAATCCATAAGGCCTTGACTTCAGACAGGTTTTGGTATTTGGTAGCACCATGTGGAAGTGGGGATAGTTGGGTTGATAAATGCCCAACGCAATGGTTGCAACCACAAAAAGGCAGGATACTATGGCTATGTGCCCACCTAGTATCTCTGGCTACATAAGTTGTAACAAATCACCAGCTTGATTTAACGTGATTTTGGGATCATTCCCTTAGCTGATCATCATCGACAGTGATGTCAAGGTGAAGTGGATATACTTCAGCCACATGTTTGATTGGTCATATCCAATTTTATTCCCATCCCGGCTGGTCTTACAGCATACCTGGCCTGGAAGGAATATATTGTGTTATATCATCACCCAATATAGCCTCCGCTAAGTATATATTGTAATTTGTAATTATGGTTGTGTCCGATCTTGGGGGTGCAGTTCCAGTTATATATAAGTGGTTAATCATGGTTATATAACCATGGAAAGATGGGGCCCCATATCCAAACCAATGCGTGTGATTCGTTTTTACCATGGTTCTACCCACTAATAACCCCTAAGTTGTACCCCCCAAGTAAGTTATATATCCCATGATATCCCATGAAAATCCCATGAAAATCTTCGAATCCCCATGACAATCCCATAGTTTTCATTAAAAATCCCGACTTCTCGCAGCCCCAGCGACGTCCGTGTTTCCGCCGTCGCAGCAACTGCTCCATCCGCGCCCGGCGCTGCAGCTGCGAGGGAGGTGCAAGCGGCGAGGGTGGCTTCGCATCCAGCTCTGCCGGCCTGGAAACGCCCCAGGATGTTTCTGTTGGGTTTCTCAAGTTTCTCTATGGTAACTGTAAAATATACTCTATAGTGAATACCCTATAGAAAGAGGGTGAATATATTTTATTCTATTTCGGGTTGGCTATAGCCTGTTGAATATTTACGTTATCTTAGACTTACAACATGTGAGGTTGCTAAAATCATCTAAAATCCAATGGCATTATGCCAGACCAATGCAAAAATCAGTTCCGCTTCTGGGTTTTCCCCTGGTTTCCCCCACCTTGGCACTGCCGCGTTGCGCACGGGCCGCACGTCGTCGTTTTCCGGCGTCGGGGTCTCTGTGGCCGGCGAGGCGGGTGGATCGGAGCGCAGCACCAGGCCTGGCAAGCGAAGGGAAGCATAGCTACTTGGTGGTTCTTCCTATATCATCTCTCTCTCTCTCTCTCTGTCTGTCTGTCTGTCTTTCTTTCTTTCTTTCTTTCTTTCCTCCTTTCTTTCTTTCTTTCTTTCTTTCTTTCTATATATTATATATATATTTATGTTGTATATCTGTGTAAGCATGTGAAATATGAATGAAACATCATCCCTATTATTATTGTTTTTATGTTTATTACTATTTTTGTTAATATTATTCTTTTTTCTTATGTTTATTTTATTACTACTATTACTAAATATATATATATATACCAGTACCAGTAGTACTGCGCAAGGCAGTGGCGCAAGTTTCAAGGATAGGACACTATAGGATGCAGGGATGGCAGCGCGAAACCACTGATGGACCGAAAGGTGGTTGGAGTTGTGCTTTTTGGAGTGGTTGCAATGGTTGCAGTGGTCACCTCACTCACATCTCCTGGATGTAGTGTGGTGTGGTGTAGTGCAGTAGTTGTAGCTGTAGTGGGGTTGATGTTGTTGAAGTTGTAATGTTGTAGTTGTAGCTGTGGTTGCAGTTGTAGCTGTAGTTGTAGTTGTAGTATAGTCGAAGTGTGGTTGAAGTTATAATTGTTTTAATTGTAGTAAATGTAGTAGCTGCAATAGTTGTAGGAGTTGTAGTTTTAGTTGCACATGTAGTTGTAGTGCAGGTGTAGTGTAGTTTTAGTTGTAGCTGTAGTGTAGTGTCATGGTAATTGTTCTTGTAGTAGTGTAGTTGAAGTTGTAGCTGAAGTGTAGTTGTAGTGTAGCTTGTAGCGTGGTGTAGTGCAGTTGCAGTTGTCTATCTATCTGCTATCTGTCTATGTATATATCTGTTTATCTATCTATCTGTCTGCCTGTCTGTCTGCCTATCTATCTATCTATCTAGCTATTTTTCCTCAGTTTTTGAACTTCACAACATCGAAAACGCAGCAATTCTCCGAGGTTACCTCAATGTTTTCAGTTGACAACACCAGAAACGAAGCAATTCTGCGAGACTTCCTCAATTTTTGAAGTTGAGAACACCAGAAACGAAGCAATTCTGCAAGACTTCCTTCAAAAATGGAACGTTGGGTTTATGTCAACCAGACCATAGCTTATTCTACCTTTTTTAAAAATCGAAAAAAAAAAGTGACAAAAGCAACAGCAAGAAGGAAAAACCACAAAGCACATCAGCAAAATCAAAAAAAACACAAAAGCAAAATAAAAGGGGAACAAAAGGGAAAAAAAGGAAAGTCAAAAAGGGGAAAAAATGGACTTGTCCATTTGCATTTTTTTTGCATTTAGTTAATTTAGTTTGTTTTCGATTTGCTTTTTTTGTGCTCTTATTTTGTTGTTTTTTGGCTTTTTTCCAGGCAAAAAGAAAAAAGCAAAATAACAGCAAAACAAAAGCACATCGAGAAAGCAAAATAAATGCAAATTGACAAATCCACTTTTTCCCAAATGTTTTTTTCCCTTTTTGACGTTCCTTTTTCTCCTCCTTTATTTTGCTTCCGTTTTTTTTTTCAGTTTTGAAGTTTTGCCTTTTGATTTTCCATGTGTTTTCCTTTTTTGGTATTTTTTTCAAGTTTAAAAATCATTAGAAGAAGCTATAGAGGTCAACATAACGTTGGGTGCGGAGCTGACGGCCTCGTACCATTGTGTTTTGCGATTTTTCCACTGCATCTGTCTAAAGTACTGTGCCTGCCATGCAGGCATAAGTGATGCCAGGTCACACGAAGTGCTGCACCTGCCACGCAAAATTCAAGATCTCATATTCCAAAATGCAACCCCTCTCAGGAAATCTCCGCATTGATCTCCTAACACATCTAACTCATGTGTCTTTTGTATTGCGCCTGCCACGCGAAATGCATCTTTGCAGATCCTCTTTAAATGTCCCACGCCTGCCATCGTTTTTGAAAATGCTACAAAACCCTCACGATTTTCTCACTTTTGACAAGGTGCACAGCCTGCCACGCAAAACGGCATCTGAACGTCAAAAAGGGGCCCGTACCGTACCCTTCATTTTTTTGCACTTTTTGACTTCGACATGTGCTTCGCGCCACAACGGCGTGCACCTTTTCGACATCTCAACTTCCAAAAGTGCTCCGAGAATAGTGTGCTTTGTACATTTTGACTTGGAAATGTGCTTCGCGCCACAACGGCGCGCAACTTTTCATCTCTGAGTCTGACCACATGGCTCCGCACCCGCCGCTTTAGCGAGCCTACTTTTCGACCCTCCGGCGCCACAAATCATTGCTCCTTCTTTCTTCTCACTCTTTCTATTCTCTGATCTTCTCTCTTCGGCTCTTCTCCTCTCTGACTCTTCCCACCTCTAATTTCCATCTGCCCATATTGTCGGAAGTTTGACTTCTAAACTTCCTTCGGTTATATAAGATACATATGTATATATATATATACGTAAGTATATATATATACGTAAGTATATATATGTGTGTGTGTGAATGTATATATATATATATGTGTTTATGTGTGTATGTGTGTAAAAATGTAGAATAACATGGAAAATTGAAATTATTAGCTATTACCCATTTCAATTGAAACACAAAGTTGAAATGCACACATACATGTAATATCATGACAATGTAAATGATTGTAGATTAGTGTTTCATATGCTTTCAACATAGCTATCAGTTGTAGAGGCTGGTGGCTACCCCTTGGAATGTCGTGAGCCCCTATCGCCATCGTCCCAGCGTCGTTTCGGCAGGGGAGGCACCGCTGAAGCTTTCCTGCGGCAACAGAAAAACCAGCGATTCTTCCATGGTTTTACCTCTTTTTTTTGCTGCAAATGTTTTTGGGGCTTTCCTGGAAAAAAAACTACAGCATCCAATTTTTGGGGTATCTCTCTCTCTCTCTCTCTCCATCGCCATCTGGTTAAAAATTGGTAAGGGGGGTTCCAATTTCATGAAACCCATCCGTTTTGGTGCTGCTCCATCTCTTCAGCCAGTCCCCGGCCAACAGCGGTCCCAGGCCGCCTTGTTGGCATCCGCTGTGCCAAGGTCTGAGGCCGCTCGGGCGCGTCCTCCGGATCTACCTGGATCTGGGGCGGCACCAGCTGAGTCGTCACGTCCATCTCCTCACCCGCCTTCGACACCATGGGGAACCCAGGGGGAACCCCCAACCCTTTAGGGGCAGAAAGGTCTGGATGATGAAGAAAATGAAATCTTTTGGACTGAATATGGGATGTTTCAAATGTTTTTGTGAAACACGGTTGATTTTTGCTATGGGTTAATCCATTGGGCATTATGATAGTAATAGTAAATTATTGTAAAGCATCAATTTTGCGGTCCAAGATGGTCCAAACATTTCCACACCCATTTATCGCCAAAGGATTTTGTTGATTGGAGAATCCTATGTAGTAAATATATTTGGCCTCTAAACCGCTCCTTTCGCTTGATGCATCCTACTTCCTCCATTTTTCTTCCTCAACTTCATCCAAGGGAGTTCAACCATTATTTACGCACCGGGTGATGTGTTCAATCATTTAACATCGCCCAAAATCAGCACATTTACAAAGAAAATCACATCAAATTCCCGATATTTCATGGAAATGTCATGGACATGTCCCGAAAATTCCAGCATTTTATGAACATTTCATGCCCGGAACCAGTGGTTGTTTCCTGTTTCTTCCCATCCCATCCTTTTGCCTCCAGCTGTGGCAGGGGCTCCACAGGCGGCCATGACGACGGCGACGCCGAGGACGTCGTTTGGACCAGGGCGCCGCTGCTGAGATCGACCTTGGGGATGGCTTCCGGGGGGGAAGACGACCTTGGGAAAATGCCATGGTTCCTTGGCGGATCAAAAACATTCAAAATCCAATGGCCTTAGTGACCTTGGAAAATTTAAAGGTCTTGGTTGAAAAAAAAATGGTTGCAACATTATATTGGTCTTGGCTGATGGGGTACTTGGGTTAGGTTTCGAACATTTTCCTACTAGACTCTTGGGATGGTGAAATCTTAGATTCAATGGTGGGAAAGCAGGACGTTTTTTGCATCGAAATAAAGCGGCTTCCCGTAAATATCATTCAACAGATTAATGATGCCGAGCGCATTAAAGCATGCTACATGGTGCCAACATGGGATGTAAGAGACATGACATAAGGCGGTTGGGAACTAGGCCAACTACGGATTGTAGTGAACATATGATGGTAAATACATCATGATGCATCTACAGTTGAATGGGGCTGAACATATCTAAAATCAATCCGGCCATGTGACGGAATCAAGCAGATTCCAACAGGGATCTGTGTCACACGTTTCTTTCCATACCCCTCCTCCAATAAACCAACATCAATATATAATCATGGAAAACCCGTCGTTTTCGCTGGAGCTTTCACATGTGTATTTTTCCCCACATCAACTACCTTTGCTGACCACGGGCATGGGTCAATACCATTCAATACCACCAATGTGGGTAAAACAATAATAAACCATGCCCCAGTCATCACCATTTTTATAGGTGGCATGTTTTCCTTTCCCAGTCATGGGTGGTAAACATGGCATTGTTTTACCCGCATTAGCATTCTTTAGGGGATAAACACCCAGTCCACCCATCCCATTGACCGTTACAGTGTGAACTGCATGGTACCGCTATGGATAGCTGCCCCAATCTCAGATTTCCAGGTTTCCCACTTTTCTACCGCTGTGTGTCTGGAAATTGGATACTGATTAACATCATCCCATTATTGGGGCAACTCATGATTCACATGAAATCTGACATGCTAGAGTTTAATGGGAAAATCATGATTAACATCAAATTTATTGGGTTTTTTCATGGTTTTCCGCGGTTTTCCCATGGTTTTCCCTTACAGCAAACGTTCTTCAACAACGGCCTGTGGTGCTTCGTAGCTCCACTCGTCCCGCATCCAGGCGTAGCTCAGATGCTCGACGCCCCGTCCTGTCGTAGGAAGAAGTTGGAATATGTTGGAAGAGGTTGGAATGTACCAAGTACCCCCTGGTAAATTAACATAGACCCTGAAAATCACCAATTTTTAATGGAAACTAGTCTTCCAGGGTCTATGTTAATTTACCAGAGGGTATACCAAAAATCCATGGATTTAGATTTAGATTCGTTAGATTTAGATTTAGCTTCAGTGACCAGGGATGTTTTTGAGAAGACGCCATGGTTTTTTATCATTGAAAATCATGTTTGAAAGGGAAAATCAGGGACGGGTTCCACATGGTTCCACCGTGGCACCTTTCATCAACAAACGCTTTTGGTGGGTTTAAAAGTGGCCCTCCCATGTCGGAGCAAAGTGATGACCGACAATTCAACAGATTTGGGGTAAGATTGGGGGCGATGTTCAGCAACACCCGATATGGAAAATGTAGCTGACACTGACACAGTTACACAGCATGTGGAACATGTTCAATATCATGTGGAAATGTTCAAAATCTGAAATTGACAGAGTCTGGATTTCCACAGCCCGTACAATGCTATCACTTTAGAAAGTGACGTTGATGCCAGCCCTATCCTCTTGACGCCCAAACTCATGTAGTAGTCAGCAATGAGTGAGTCGAGTGAGTAGAATGTACCCATCTTGCATGTCAATCTATCTCAATACAGTAATTTTACATTATAATCTATAATTATATATAAAACCAATTTAATCGCATGACTAGCCGATGATTTTTTGCGCCGGATGACGAGGAATTCCTTGGAGGCTCCAGATTCAGTATGAGAAAACACGGATGTATTGACCATGGGGCCCATATTGGATACCCTGCAAGAAGTTTTATTTTCAGCTGGTTGACACACGCATATATATATATATGCAAATATATATGCATATATATATCCTTATAATTATGAGTCCGTACATAGCGTACTTGTGACTGAGGTTTGCAATACAAAAGCAAGGTTTACCCAGTGACCACCAAGGCAAATTTTGGCTCCAGCAGGGCAGGGAGACATCTTGATGCAAACATCCAGGTTGTGCATATGGAATAGCCATGCAGCCATGCTTGGCATGTTGCATGCACAGTGCACATCTCGAAGATCTCACGTCTCGGAGATGTTTTGGGAAATTGGCCCAATAGGGCGTCCGAGACTTGGGGATGCCAAAACGAACGGTTCGATCAAACAACACGTGAAGACTAACGGCTGATGTTTCTGGGCCTCCCCAAGTTGAAGCCTATCATTCAGGGCTGAAAAAACCTAAAAGAAATTTGCAAGGCCAACGATTAAGCCCCACGCACTAATCGTTGCAGTTGAGGAGAGGTCCGTGGTCGACGTACCCAAAGCCTGCCGCAAAACAGCTGAAAAGGGTCCATGTGAAACGAACAACAACCCAGGATGTTAGTCTGGGAATCTGCTAAAGTTGGGTATATATACATATACCATATATACGCTACAATTAGGTTATTGAATATGCATATACAAACATTCAGATCTAAGATTTAAGATGACGTAAGTTTGTTTCCGGACATGAGTCTAACCTAGTGAGGTACCTACAACGCCCAAAAAACGGAGATGGCACATAACCGGGATGCCAAAGCACTATGGCCTATAGAGTAAACCCCAATATGTCCAATTCGATCATCCTTTGGCTCGTGTCTTGCAGTTCGAGTCCCTAAAGCATCCTCTGGTGATGGACTAAATAAACATTGTTATTAACAGTATAAAAATCCTTTGTTTACAGATGTTTTTTTTCTCCACCGATGTTGCAGCAGCAAAGTACGTAAACCCTAGTTAAATCACAATTTTGTTGGTTAAAGTTAAACCGTTCAACCGCGTTGAACCACAATCTTCTTGCTAAGAGCCAACCCCTACAGTAACAAATTCCAGCTGGTGAAATCCCCATGTTTCATAGCTCTAAACCATGCTGAACTCTCCCCATTTCCCCGTGCCTCAGCCACGGTGCTGGAGCTCCCCGTTGTGCTCGTCACTACCTCCGCACCGCCGCTGGTGTCGCCGGTGCTGCCGCTGCTGGTGCTGCTGGTGCCGCACTCGCCCAGGCTGCGTAGGGCGCCATGGCCGTTCTCGGTGGCGATCTTCCAAGCAGCGGCAAAGCTCGTCACCCAAGCGGACTCGTCGTTCTGAGCCAGGACGTACCATTGGGGGGTAGTCTGGGGGTCTATCTATCGATATCTCTCTCTCTCTCTCTCTATCTCTCTCTCTCTATATATATCTATTTATCTATCTATCTATCTATCTATCTAATATCCTGAGGAAATTTGAAGGATTTTGATGGGATACAGATTTTTATATTGGAGATGAAGGTATATATAATGGGGGATAATATGGAGAAATTTGGAAGATTATGATAGAGATGTTGAAGGAGATGGAGGTATAATGTGGTGCACCCCAAGACCCACTTAAACTACTTACCAACTTAGCTCAGTTGGGAGCACCACCTGGATGGGGTTTAGATAGTTTGGACGGTTGTTGGCCAGGGTTTGTTATGTTTTATTGTATGTTGTTTATTGCGGGGAGTATGGTAGGTAGGTGGAGACAAAATCAACTGGTTTGCTAGATAATCTGTTGATTGCTTCACCAATGATATACTTGGATGGGATGGGGTGCAAAAAAGGAACTGACAACTGGGTGGCACCACTTTGTGTATGACTTTGTGGGGAGTCTTAAGGCAATGCTCTGGAAGTCACAACAGCTGTAAGACCTTGACAAGGATATATCAAAAAGGCATACCGTTACACCGTTGGAAGTGCACACAAACTGAATAAATGAATAAAACTCATTTAAACGCTAGATTTTCATAGATTTTCCCTGTTCTGATCCTTTTGGCATTCTCTTGCTGTGAACCTGTCTCTTGGGAGGGTTCTATAGAAAGTGTGCCCCATGGCCACCTGAAATGCCCAAGTGGCCGCAAAACTGAGAACCGCAGCCGCTGCGGGTCCGTTGGGATTGCGTGGATCCCCGCAATCATTGTTCTCGTTTCCGCAGCAACGATCTCGTTCGTCCTTAGTGATGACACTGGTGTCAGTGGAACATTGCCTGTACGGTACCGAACTATATAGAATCAGAAAAATCAGTTTTTAAACATGAACACATGTCGACATTAGTACGGCCCAGTGGCCCAGTACTGAGAACGCAAATGTTGAATACTGTGCGAGCCAACAGATTTGGTGCGTCAGTGCTTCTGCCAGGTTACTGACAAACTCAAACAGGCACACACACACACAACGAACAGCAGCCGCCACTACCAAGCAAAGAAACGCAAGTGATGTTATCAAGAACATCAGGGACAGCAGGAACAACATGAACGACAGCAGAAGCAGCAAGAACAACCACAACAACAGCAGCAGCAACAACAAGAACAAGAACAAGCACAAGAACACCAAAAACAAACGGAAACTATTGCTAGTGTTTCTATTTGTACTAAGTCTGCGATTGTTACAGTTCGCTACTCCTGCTATTAATGTTACTATTATACCGTAACTGCTACTGCGACTCCTACAGCCGCCTGCTGCTGAGCGACCCCCAATCTTCCCCCTGCACGGCCTCCGCAGTAGACTCCACCGTTGCTGCTGATGGCAGCAGAGATGCGATCTGACGTTACCCAGCCACAGCATTGATGCTCGTGTGCCAGCACTGGCGTGCCTTCAAGGTGGGTGAACTGGAAGCTTTTGATGGGAAAATATTGCGGAGTTCACAAATCATGTTTCTGGGTAAATTATAGTTTAATTCACTAACCTGTAATAAGGATTCTTAAGGCTATAGTTGGATAAATCCCCTTATTCACCATCATTACAGTGAGGTCGTAGTGAGGTCGCTAGAATTTACATGAATTTACCAGATGTTTGTTGTTTTACAAGCCCATCAAACTATAGCTTTATAGTTATAATCACCATAAACCACAACTAACCTAGTTGTAAACCAAGAAAATTATCAGGAATAAAACGTAGATGGTTTTTGAGAGGGAAGGCGGTGTCAGCAAGAAAATGTCACCCTGAAGTGCCTGAGAAATTTGTGTCAGTAATGGGTGCCACTAAGCTTCAATTATATATATATATATAGATGCTTTGCGAAGGATTCGCTGGGGGGCTTCTTGAAAGAAGAATCCTGCTATAAGCTCACAAGTGCTCGCACTAGCTGACACGAAAAGCATGGTAATTAAATTCATCAGCCTGCGAATCGATATAGGCAAAATAGTTATATAGATCAAACACCATGCCATGATGTAGTCAAAACATTGCTACACTGCCTGCGCTACGGCTTAATTTTGGAGACATTTGTTGGAATAGGTCGGAAACCCATCGTTTTTTTTTCCGGGAAACTGAGGAAACACCGGGCATCATTTGTTTGGAAGATAATGACAATGTATGCAATTATATCCTGTCCCTATGTAGTTCAAAAACGTGACATAAATTGAGAAGAATCATGTACCACAGAAACTCGGTGACAGTTGTCGGAAATACCGCAACAAAACGTTTTCTGAACCGTGACCTCTGTAGGGTTGGCCCCTCATGATATTAATTCCCGTTAATCTTTCTCAGAAACATTATCATGTCCATCGCATTTATCCAACAATCGTGCTTACCGCAAATGTTGCCACAATATGCCACAATCCAATTACTGACATCCAATAAGTTAAATAATGCCTCATTGAAAAAAATGAAAAAAACGGGCTTTGCCATAGATGTCAGGAAATAGACCTTAAAACATCTTAAAACGTTTGATATTCACAGGGCGTAGTGCAAGTTTCACAGAGGAATCCCAATCGGAGCAGTGTCACAGCAGTCCAAGGTACCACCAGGACCTCGAGGTCCTTCCATTTCACTAAAGGCCAGGCACATATCAGTGTTTAACATCATCCTCAGTCGGAGGGCCCATTGAGGGCCCATGGATTCACCCTGTGTTTCTGGGATGAGTTTAGCCAGAATGGGGTAGTCTACTTAGATTACTAACATTGAGATTCACCCAGTAGATTCGTAACTACATTGAACGCGTTTGCTAATCCAAGTAGTTACTAAGGATGACGTGGGATGACCCTGTTAGGGGACTCAGTGGTATGATACCCCAAGTGAAGGACTGTGTGAAGGATCTGGAGGTAACTAACTATGGGGCTAGCGATGCTATTCCCAGCAGATTTCCCGTAAATAAAACGCTCACGGATGGTCTATGTATGGTCCATCAAACCGGATGTGCCGCAACAAGGTACAATATGGTATGCTCACTTCATATACTCAATATACTGTACTACTTCATACTACTTCCTATAGGTCCATCTTCCCAAGTTTGGAACTTGAAACCAAAGATTTGGTCGGTTCTGGCCTGATTCTTCGATTTATAGCGCTGCCATTTTGAGCGGTCTCCACCAGCCAGGTGGATGTTCCAGGAATGAAAAATCGAGCATCAGTGTCTGATGCTTAACTACCCAATCCAGGTTTCCTGCCAGGTCCTCAGGTGGTGCCCCATATACTTATCATATCTTATCATACTTTGCTAAGTTGGTTTATAAGTAGCTATAACTAGCTGAATTCCTCATTCCATGGTTTATGGTAAACATATATTAATATGTCTATACTTAATGATCTACTTAATGGGATTCATCAACCAACGGACATACTCTCCGGCAAACTAACATAGCTATAGAAAATCATCACTTTTAATAGGTAAATCAACTATAACTGGGACATTTTCCACGGCTATGTTGGTTTTACTGGGGGCACCGTCCATTGTGATCCATAAATGGATCATGGACCCACCAGATTTGCGTGTCTCGGTCGAAGTTCTCGTGGCCATCCACGCTGGTATCTCTGCCAGTGTCGCTGCGCTCCTGGATGTGACGGGGAGCGAAGGGAGAGGATGGTGATTGAACTAACAATAATGGTAGATAGGGTAATGGGAATATAATTGTATATTACATACTGTAACTACCAATATAATATCTATGGGATATAGAATAGATAGTGGGTAATGGGAATATCATTAGTATATTATCTTATAACTGCCAATATAATATACATGATTGTGGTCATCCATCCCATGGTCACCCATCCCACGGAATGGGAAATGAATGGATTGACTGATTGACTATTTCTTCCCATCCCCCAAGGACTGGCAATATAATCACGTTGGTGGTATACCAAGGACTGGCAATATAATCACGTTGGTGGTATACCTACCCCTCTGAAAAATATGATTTCGTCAGTTGGGATGATTATTCCCAAAATATGGAACAATAAAATTCCATGGTTCCAAACCACCAACCAGTACTGCAACGTTTGACCATGACACATATGCATGTGCCAATGAGGTTGTTTGATGGGAGGATCATGTGATTTCGACTGGAGATAGGTCTGATCTCAGCCCCGGATCCTTAAACCCCTTGGGCTGCTTGATTGGGGAGAGGGTGCCAGTTTCGTAACATTGTTTTTCACGTTTTTTTCGAGGAACCTCCTTATTGCTCAACGAGAATTTATTCATTGTTTACATTTACATGCACCTTGACCTTCCGAAAAGAATCTGTGCATTTGTTGAAATGACTATGAGCAGCACACACAGCTGGCATGCATCCTGAAAACTAACATGTACGTAGGACAGAAACATGCCGAGACCTCTCGCAAGCACAATCTATCGTTCAGTTGACCACAGAACTTTCGAATAAAGCACTTGGAGCACACACCCAAAATGCTTAATCCCTTCCCCGAAAGCACAAAATAGCCACCACAAGCCGCAAGATTGGTAGTGGTCGTACTCAACTCATTGTGTTTCCTTTGTATGACCGGGATGAGATCAATAAACTTAAGACGCAGACAGGATTCAGATGCCGATGTTGCAGCCAAAAAAATGGAAGGATTTCACATCTCAAACAGATTGCTAGGCAAGCATCAAGAAATCATACTTGTTAAAACAACATAAAACAACTACCCTCTGGTAATTTGACAAAACCAAAAATGGCACATTTATAGATGAGTTATCCGTTGAAATTATCGAACATGTGTGATTGTCCATTGCTAACTGATAACATATCCGAGAGTAATACGAGCACGACGAGCATCATCTGCTCAAAGCATGAATGCCATCATCCCCTACAATGGGCACAAAGTTGTTGCACAAACAGCTTCATGGATCTTCATGCGCCCCTGTTGGCTGAAATGTGGGGCTACTCCCCGACCCCTAAAATCTGCTGAAATCTTAGGGCAAGCTTAGCATAGTCTCAATGGCCAGCTTCAGGACATGTTCGGGTGATTTGCCATGCCCTCTGCTAAACTAACATCACAATCTTTATAGGCAAATCATCTATAAATCGTTCATGTTCCATAACCATGTTAGTTTACTGGAGGGTAAACAGCATTGAACAACAATTTATGCTGCAATCAGCCAGCAAGACGGTCATCCGTGCATACCCTCCGGTAATCAAACGTGGCAATGGGAAATCCATCATAGATGAAGGCTGTAATGGGAACATCATCTATGAATGGGGTATTTTCCAGCCAGCCATGTTTGATTACCGAAAGGTACCCGTAGCTCAAGTATGATCCCAACTTGCAGCCGCATGGAATGTCTGGTCAATTTTTTTTTCGCCGATTCCCAGTTGAATCCCATCGCAAGATTTCATGCCCCCGCTCCCATTGGTCCCATTGGTTCTTGTTGACATTTCCCGAGATCGCTCGTTCCACTGTCCAACCCTTGGCCACCAAGGAAATGTAGTAGTTGTTGTTGAACCTCAATTTCGAATCCAAGAGAAAGTTGGATCACATAGCACTCAAATGGGGGACCATTGGGTACCCCAAAATGGATGGTGTTTAGCTAATGGAAAATCCTATCAAAATGATTTAAAATGCATGATTTGGGAGTAACACCATTTCAGGAAACCTCCAAATGATCTTAAATGAAGAGTTGCTTAGCCTTAGCCTTAGTTTTAATGAGGATGTAAATGGGAGGTACACACAACACGGGGAACACCAAGTATAAGCAACAAAACGTGGCGGTTTCTCTCAAATAGCCAGTTCAACCAAACAAAGCAATTGAACAATAGTGTCCCATGCACAAAACACTGGTTTAACCAACAGTTTCTCACAGGAAAAAAACACAACAAACAAAAATTTGAAACCCATTGCCACCTGAGATCATCGATGGGGATCCCCAGATATGGATTCAACCCTCTTTTGGAGGCCTTGGATGCTCAGCTTTGACAAACTTTAGAAACTTTAGAAGCCGTTTGAGAACACCATTTTTGACAAACGCAAGAAACCTTCGAAACCTTATGAAACCGCAAAATTTGTATAGCAGTAATATAATTAACAATAATATAATATAATATTATATAATATTATAATATAATATAATATACCAAGAGCTTCAAAGACCCAAAAAATTGTAGGTCCAGTGAAAATAACCTAGTTTTTTCGAGAAAAACCGGAAATTGTAAAGAACCCATGTTTTGGTTTTTGTTGGATTTGCACAGATTTGTCCAAATCGGGCGGACCTGTATCAAATCTCTCCTCATTACATGTAGCAATTTCATACTGACAACTTGTGAAATCTGTCAGACAGAACGCGCGATCGAAACAGAAGCAAGCGATATCAGACACGATGCGCGCATTCTCCACCAGCCGCAGTTGCCTCCTATGCTGCGAACTTTCCCTTCAGCGGGACTGGAGGTAGCCAAAAAGTCACAATGGATATGCATGGCATTTCAAAAGTCAGCTTTTCAGATATGAACCCAGTAAATTGACAATAGCTGCGGTAATCTGTGTTGTTTTCTTTTTGCCTGGATCGGGCAATTACCGGTTCGATCTTGCAAAACCACAAGCGGAGCCTTAAAACTCGACGTTGCGCCGTCAATTCGCAGAGGCAAAAAAACCATATTTTGAGTACGGGTTAGTACGGGTTAAATATGGGTTAAATATGGTTTAAATATGGGTTCCAAAAAACCGGGTTTTTTTAACTATATCAGAATATGGGTTTAGTACGGGTTAAATATGGGTTTAGTACGTCTTAGTACGGCTTAAATATGGGTTTTTGGCATTTTTTGGGTACAGACCCTAAAATTTTCATCCGACATGATTAAAAACTGAAAATTCCGATTGATTTTTCATGATTTTGTTAATTTGGTTCGGTACTTTTGTTCGACTGTTTGTTGGACTTTGGCAATCCAGAATCATTTTTTCCAAATGAAAAAATCCAGCCATGTTTCAATTTATGCTTCTAGGGGTGGTTCTTGGGAAAAAATCATCCAACGACTCCAGATTGACTGTGATCACACTTAATGTTGTCCGACATTTTCCAAGAGCATCGGGCCCTTTCTTGTGAGAACTGCCAGCCAAAGCCAGCAGGGTGGAAGCATAATCAACATGAAGGGTACTGAGAGGGATAGATCCAAGGCTGGTATCAATAAAGGGGTTTGAATCGTCTAAGGGAACGAATCATGAGATGTCATGACACCAAGTGTGAGAAAAAGTAGGTGTTTTCCCTAGTAAAGAAAAAAAACCATATTTTCTGAGAAAAAACGTTTTTTTTTCATAACTGAAGAAAAAACCGGGTTTTTGAAAACATACCTACAATTTTGTGGGTTCTTGGTGCGCTAGGTAATATAATATAATATAATATAATGTAATATAATATAATATAATATAATATACAATAATATAATATAATGAGGATTGGCTTGACAAAGGTGCACGGTTAAAGTGTGCAGAATCGAGAATCGAGGATCGAGAATCGAGGATCGAGGATCGAGAATCGAGAATCGAGGATCGAGGATCGAGAATCGAGAATCGAGGATCGAGAATCGAGGATCGAGGATCGAGAATCGAGGATCGAGAATCGAGAATCGAGGATCGAGGATCGAGAATCGAGGATCGAGGATCGAGGATCGAGGATCGAGAATCGAGGATCGAGGATCGAGGATCGAGAATCGAAGATCGAGGATCGAGAATCGAGAATCGAGAATCGAGAATCGAGAAGCGAGGATCCAGGATCGAGGATCGAGGATCGAGGATCGAGAATCGAGGATCGAGGATCGAGAATCGAAGATCGAGGATCGAGAATCGAGAATCGAGAATCGAGAATCGAGAATCGAGAAGCGAGGATCCAGGATCGAGAATCGAGAATCGAGAATCGAGGATCGAGAATCGAGAATCGAGAATCGAGGATCGAGGATCGAGGATGGAGAAAAACAAGATATACAAGATTGATTGGGATCGAGGATTGAGGATGAATAACACTATTATAGCGGCGTGCGCAGTCAAGGTTTGGGAACAATATGCATACGTATTGCATACGTAGTGTTTGGTAGGCATGTGTGTGAACGGGGCATAGTTCAGTATACCCTCATTGATTCATGTCGGCATGTAACTTATGAAACAGTGTACCCTTGGCAAGCCAACTTGCAATGGTGAGGGAAGCACAGAATTAGGAGGGTTGTCGAATGGTCATCGCCTCAGCCGGTGCCCATGATGCCCATGATGCCGCTCTCAGAAACAAACCAGAAGCAAACAAGAGACTTTGACACGTTGAAGACCCAGTTCAAAAATGTTCAAAAGATTCCGATTGGACGCAGTTCGTATCTCTCGGTGGAAGTGTAAGTGCAGTGAATTTTTCTGTTGTGTCATATTATTCCGTGGAATATTGCACTTTTCAGTCGCACATAGGACGACGCATCGGTTCCAGTCACATGTTCCTCTCCAATCACAGGACAGGCAAAGAATACGTTTCGCTCAGATGCATGACTAAACTCTACCAACACTTCCAGTCAGTCTTGTTGCTGTAGGCAGGGTTGGCTAGCCACCCTCACATAGACATGTTGGTGCGGCTGTTTGGGGCTGGCTAGCCGCCCCAGTGTTTCATTTCAACATTATCTAGAGAGGCAAGGAGATGAAGGTTTGTCACAAAGTTCTCTTTCTATTTCGCCTGCTTGCTGTGGTCGTCAGATGTAGCGGGTCTGAAAGTTTGATGTGGGGCATCTGGGAGATTTTGTTAGTCCCAAGATTAGTGATTCTGGTTTCTGTGCTGAGCAGCACACATCCAAATGTTACACAGTGTCTTTGCAAACTTGCAACGTCCCGGCACGTTCCACATACTGTCTTTGCTCTCTGGCGTTGCGGCTCAGTTGCCCGCATGGGCGTGGAGGGCCATGGCGCACTTCTCATTGGAGCGTGTGTTATCTCCTGTGCCGACGTCTGCATTTCCAGCTGTATCAGAAATTCTTTCCTCGATACCCTCGCACCTGTGCCCTCCATTCTTGCAGAAAGTGCTGGAAACAAAGCATGAAGTGAATCTAAGCCTGAAGCAAGTGGAGAACGTTTTGTGGAAAATCGAAACCTTCTTGCCCTGCATGGTGAGTGTGTCTCATCCGTTGGGACAAAACCCGTTCCAGTTAAAGAAGTACCAGGAGCTTGTCCCAGACGTTCCCACCGTCTGCGTGCCGTCTCTGGTAACGTCATGCGCTTGCTGTGGCGGTGCCTTAGAGGACAAGGCAGGTAGATCTTCTTCCCGCTTAGTGAACAATTTGCGTGGAAGTGATGAGATGGACAATCGTTTCCTGATTTTCACTCAAGCAGCTGGTGTTCTCTTTGCGGAGTTCAAGGAAGGGTTTTGCTCTGCTTGTCGATTGTATTTTCTTGGTTGCTGGCAATATGAGAAAAAGGCTGGGGCCTTTCATCACATGGACAAGCTGCACTGCTGCGGGTTACAGGCGGATGTGGATGTGTTTGCGCCTAGGCATCGCTAAGGTTGCATGTTTTGTGCTTTCATTGATGATTTTTTTTGCGGGTTATGTTCATGACGGACAGAAGTTTGAGTTTGGCTGACACGCAGTTGCTTCACATCCCCAGTGTCAGTAGGCTTGCGTTGTTACGCTCAGGTCGTCCCTCGTTATCGAAGCTTCTTCGCCGTTGAAATCGGCTTGCTGCATTCAATCACAGATGAAATTGCCCATAGCGGCGCGACCTTTTCCTCTGCTGTGCTGCGATGGGTGAAGCAACACCCAGAAGAGGGCCAAGTTCGACTGCTGCAAGGAAAGGACCTGACCATGCTAGAGCGTTGCCGCAAACGGTTAGAAGAGGCCTGGTACTTATATCACTGCAGCAAACTTAGCTGCGAAGCTTTGCGTGGCATCCAGTGGCGCTTGACGCAGGAGAATGATGAGATGTGTAGTTGCTTGGTTTTCAAATTGCATTGTCAGAAGGAAATGTACAGTTTTGGGGTATGAGCAAATGGATGATAATCAAGTAGCTGCGGCGCGACAATCCTAGTGTGACACAAATGAGTTACATTGAGCACGTCCAGTTTTGTAGGGTCGTGGAACCAGGTCTTTGCTGTTGTGTTGAAATTGACGGAGCTTTGCCAGTAGGGCTGAAGATATTTCCGAAACTGTGGCAGGACTTAGATGGCTTTGAGGCTTCCTTGTCCCAAGTTCTACCTCATTTGCGGAAGCAAAGGCTGAACAAAGTTGCGGAGCACATCCACAGCTGCCCCATATGTCAGCAATGTGTGTGGATTTTGTTGGATGGAAAGCAGGGTGCTCGGCGATTCATCTGCGCCGGTCTAGAGGGTCATCGAACATTTGCAGATCTAGGGGTGTCAATTTACACTGGATGCATGAATCACGCTGGGCCCAACGATGTCTTTTGCAAGCGTTGTCGCCCAAGCAGTTTGCTGCAGAGCGCTTTGATTCCACAAGAAAAAGTGCTACAAGTCGAAACTTGTCCATCTGAAGACGGTTTGTCAGTGGAGACTTGGTACTTGGTCCGTTGCAAGTGTCCACAGAATGGCATCTTCGAAGCACCTTTGCCCCGCAAGGAAGTGCGCGCAGATCTACTGGCAGAGTTCGAGAAAGGGGCCTTGCCAAAAAAGCGAGATCATGGTAACCTGCGTACTCAATTTCGCTGGCTGAAGAGTGCTCGCATGGTTCGTCAAGCTGCCTTGAAGCGCGCTGGGCCATGCAAGCCAGCGCGCCGTGGAAGAGCCAGCAAGAAGGAGGAGGTCAAAAAGCTTCCGGGCGGATGGCTGTCGCAGGCGTATGTCGCATTCCTCCGCGACACTGACAAGTCTACAGATGGCAGTGAGCTTGCTGAGTGCGGTATTGATAAGGAGAAGAAAACTTTGAAGCGCAGGCGATGCACAGGTGGCATTTTAACTGCTACCCTTTCCTGTGGTCAGCTGGTGGATTGGCTAGAATTACCTCGTGGAGAAGCCCTCGATGTAGTGTACACCTTTGTTCTGGATGTGATTAAAGAGCTCTCGACCCGGCAAGTGCAGGTGAAGTGCGTAGGGTATGACAACGCCTGTCGGCTCCTTGCAATGGCTGAGCGTTGTGAGAATTTGTGCAGCCCATGGACCAACAAAGTGACGGAGTGTCGAATTGTCTTGGATAGGTTCCACAAGGGAAACCACTCTTGGTGTCTTCGTCATCGCCCGCAGGCGCCAGGGAAGTTAAATAAGAGGAATACAAACAAAGGCAATGTGAGAGAGAAAGTGTTTCAATACCAAAGCAGGTTGGAAATTTGCGCGTTCGCGCTTAGTATTTGCCTGCAAGGTCGTGTAGTTTGTTCAGCAGTGAACACCTGTAGCAGTACCACCGTCTCTTTTGCATCCTTGATTTGGGTCACAAGCTCATGTGTCTTTGAAAAGGATTGTGAAAGCATGTGCAATGCAGTGGCCGCGTCCATTCTCCTCAACCAAATGCTGCCAGGTGGATCCAGATCATCCAGACAACATTCCTTTGCTGCAGTTTCGCAACTCGGAGAGCTGTGAGCAGTTGAACGCATGGATCTCTGGTCGCACTGCTGCTGCCTTGAACTTGACAGGCGCTAGATTTGGTGTCTATTGGCATGCTCTTTTTGCTGAGCACAATGAATGGCTGGAGCAATGTAGTGCGGCGCGTCGTCGTCGATTCCAGGCTGGCTTCTTGAAGAGAGACCCAGACAAATGCGAAAGCAAATCGGTCGGATAGGAGAAACAGGGATAGCTATAGCCTCTTGCGTATGACCTTTCCGGGTTTCCAGAAAATTAGGCTTACAGTGTTGACAGCCAAACCAGTCTTGAACAACTTGTTGCTGTAGGCAGGGTTGGCTAGCCACCCTCACATTGACATGTTGGTGCGGCTGTTTGGGGCTGGCTAGCCGCCCCAGTGTTTCATGTCAACATGATCTAGAGAGGCAAGGAGATGAAGGTTTGTCATAAAGTTCTCTTTCTATTTCGCCTGCTTGCCGTGGTCGTCTGATATAGCGGGGCTGAAAGTTTGATGTGGGGCATCTGGGAGATTTTGTTAGTTCCAAGATTAGTGACTATGGCTTCTGGACTGAGTGGCACACATCCAAATGTTACTCAGTGCCTTTGCAAACCTCTAACCTCCCGACACGTCTCACACACTGTCTTTGCTCTCTACTTTCTGGCGTTGCAGCTCAGTTGCCTGCATGGGCTTGGAAAAGCCTGCTCAGTAGCCGGCGGAAGGCTAGTGCAATAAAGGCAGCTTGTTTGGGTCCAACCTTTTTGGCACATCTCACCACTCGGAGGAAGGCTAAGACATATAGCATCCTAGAAGAGGTAAAAGCAGTTATAAGTCAGCACGGCTAGATTTGACAGACGCGCAGCCATGGGTCGGAAAGGCCGTAGTAAAAAGGATGCGGCGGAAGACCGCGATCCTGGAATGTGCAAAGCAGACCTCTTGCTGGCATACCAACTCATGGATACAACCAATCCATTCCCTTCGGCCTCTGTAGGTGCGAGGCAACCTCTGGCTTGGAAGGTTTGCTGCGCGTTGGCCCAAGCAGCTTCCTTGCATCCTGGGTGCATGTTTGTGCACATGTTGTGCTTGGTGGCTCTGACTCTCAATGCGGTGCAGGTGAAATACACTGGCTTGCTGGGAAAATTCTGCAATTTGATGGTCTTGCAACATGGTCCGCCGGGGGACGGCAAGAGCATAGCGCTGTGGCTAGATCTTCACATCCTGAGTTACTTTGACAAACTGAGACTCTGGGTGGAAAATGGACCTGATAGTCAAGTCACCCATGGTCACGTCACACATGTCCTGTATGAAACAGTCTTGGTAATCATGGGGCAGATAACCATGAAAGCATGGGCATTAGTGAAGGTAATAGGGCAGGTCACATTCAATGTCATGCTGGTGGCTGTTTCTGTCGCCGCAGCTCAGGAGACAAGCGGGCGCAGGCGAAGTACAAGGCAGAATATGAAGTGTGGCGGAGTTCTGGCTCAGGGCCAGTAGAAGAACCGACAAAGCCTCCACCTCAAGATAGCATTGTGAATCGCATGACTTGGGTGGGTTTGGGCCAACACATGCACCAACAAGATGGCTGCGCCATCTTAGCTCTGCACGAAGGACGTACGTTCCTCCAGCACACATTCGAAGGATCTGTGGGTGGCGGCATCGAAGAATTGAACCAGCTAAGCGATCATGACTGCTATAAGAACACCATTTCTTCACAAAGCGGCAGATACTGGGTTAAAAACCCGCATCTCATTGCATTGGTGATGATGCACTGTGAAGAAATAGCGCAGCAAGCTTCCCAAGAAGATTCTGTGGCTGGCCTGTCCCGTTTTCTGCTGGCCAAATTCCCGTGTCGTGTGTTGAAGATCCGCGACCCGCAGTCCGCAGAGCAAGCGCAGAATGAGCTGGATGAGTGTTTCAATTCTTTGGGCTATGATCAGGTGGTGTCAGCTATGGCACACGTGCTCACAATCAGCAAGTTGCTCTTCCCGCACAATGAAGCACGCGATGATGATGCAGAGCACCGCTGCTTCTCACATGTGAGTGGCTTACACACCATGCCATTCGCTGCGTCAGTGAAACAGCAGTTCATCAACACTTTTAACAAGTACGTTGACAAGGTGCGCGCTGACCAGAAAGTGTTGGGTGGTCAGAGCAGCCGGCTGAACAAGGAGAAGACCAGGGCCTTGCGGTTCATCGCTCCTTTAGATGTCTTTGAAAAGGTGATCGCTTGGCTTTTGCAGAAGGATGGGCACAGGCTGACAGAGGGGCAGGACACTGAGCTCAGCGGCGAAGAGATCATCCGGTCTCTGGCGCATGTGAGAAGCTCAGTGCATATTGAATGTGACGTGACTGGAAAGTTCACAGCAGGATGTTCTCAGAATGTGAGGGCACCCGGACTGTTTGCAAACTATTTCTGATAGCTGCGCATTTTCTGAACGGTATCCGCGCCAGTGCGCCCATAGACATGTGAACATCACCCATAAAAGATGCCGCGGCCGAAGGCCATGTCATGGACATGTGAAAAGCTACTGTGTGTGACTAAGGTGAACATAGAGCAAGTTGCCACTGTTTTCAAGCCCTCACAGATCCATCCTTCCGCGACGACGGAAGCTGTGGAGACGGCAGTGGAGCTTGGCAAGTGGTTCCACGCGAGTTTCCAGAACACTGTTGGGGCTCGTGCGTTGGTGAGCGAGTTCAAGACTGAGCGCAGCAACATGATTCTCTTACCTCGTCCTTGCGTGAAAGAAGCTGCCGGCCTCATTTCGCATGAGACGCGTGCGCATGTGTGCCTCGTTGTATTCACAGGGCGGGTAGTTAGAGTCAAAAGGTCAGCATTGGGCAGGTGCGCGGTTGGGCTGCCCAAGAAGCAGGGGTGCAATTAGGGATAGGCTGCTGTCATGACCGGGGTTTGGAACTTGCTAAGGAATATTGCAGCTGCATTGGAGTGTCTTTCTTTGAAGACATGGACCTTGAAGGCTTTCGCCTTGAATGCAGAGCACACCGCGGCACAAGTGCGGGCCAGACTTCTAGACCTTTTGATTTTAGCGATGATGGGTTTCGTCGTCATGGGCTGCGGCCGCTACGCTCTAGTTGGGTATGCCGAGGATGACGAGGATTTTGTCATTTGCTGCAACAGGCCTGAGCAGCGCAAGTGCACTTCGATAAATCAAAATGTCTTGCGTGTCTGTTTTGCCGTCATGTTGTAGAGAGTCTGCAAGGCAGCTGGCAAAGTTGCAAGAGATAATCTAGAATAAGTTGGTCCACGTAGCCTTGAGGGAGCCCTCTAAATGTAAACACAAGTCGAGGCATGAACTTCAACCCTATAGCATGCTAGCGCCAGGCTCACCAGTTGGGATGCTGAAGCTGATCTTGCTGCTGTCCGGTCTTGGGTACCAATCAGTGGAGCAGAGAAGCCGAAGCTGGACCAGGATGCATGTGATGATGCCATATCGTGCATCCACCGTCTTCTGCGGGGGGAAGCTGCAAATGTGGACGGATGTCGAGATGTGTTCATGGTGGATCCTCTCGTGCCTACGCAAGCGTGTCCGGCGCCAGAGACGGCAGTTCCCTTGACGCAGGAGGCTGTGGACGATCAGGCCCCGCCAGCAAAGAGGTTGCGGCGAGAGAAAGACTTGTGTCGCGATGACTTCTCCACCAATATTCCTTTGGCAAAGAACATACTTCTGTACCTACTGAAGTCAGCAGCCTCAAGGGTGACTGTGCGGGTGATACTGGATGTCACAAAGCTGAGGCAGTGTGCTCAGGCAGAGGAATTGGAAGCGATGGCTCGCAATGTGTTTCGCTTGGGAGCTGAGGCAGGGTTGGCTTCCTTAGGCCCTCAAGGTGGCACCTGGACTGGCGTAAAGCCGCCTCCTGAGCATGAAGCCGCAGTTGTGACACTTCTGCGAGAGCTGTTTGAGAATAACATGCAGGGGGTGGAACCAGCTATAAGGAAACGTGGAGTGGCAGAGATCTTTGACATGGGTAAGTGTGAAGCGGCTTTGGCATTGTTGCGCTAAGCAGCACCGGTGTGTGCGCTGTGTAGTGTCCAACAGGGCGCGCAACATGGAGCGTGCGCTGCGCGCGGCAGGAATCAGTCCCTGTAGGAGCACATGGTAGTCGAACCAGTTTTGTTGCCTTAAGGGGGGTTGGCTAGCCACCCGCACGTATTAGCACGGCAATTTGGGGCTGGCTAGCCGCCTCATTTTGGGAATTTGATTTTTTGAAATTACATTGTCGTGTGACCATGACGGAGGCATAAGGCTGAGGGCATGCTGGTTTTGTCGCAGCAGCGCAGCAAGTGCATGGGAAACGCCGCTTTGTGTTGCGATGGTGGAGCGCTGACAAAGGCGTAAACAGAACAGGTCTTCTAAGGAATTGTGCGGGGCCACGTAGGTTCCACAGTTCGCATGTTTCAGAAGCATAGTGCCGTCATATTTGCAAGACCAGCAAACAATATAAATGAAAGCAAGCTCCTAAAATTGTAGAAACCAGTCACTGCGCTAAGCAACATAAGACCCACATAGACCCACTGTTCTGATTGTTGACAACAGCCTGTCCTCAGAATCTCACGCCCGGCAAGCCATCGCTGTGTCCCTGCCATGTCGCATGTCCACGTTGAAGTGGTGACTGGTGAGCGACACACCGTAACCACCGCGCAGCGGCAAGCTGTGGAAATGGAGACCAAGTGCAAGATCTCCTTGAGAGCGAGAAAAGGGCAGAGGCAGCTTCGCGTGGAAGGCAGTGTTTTTGGTGTCCAACTGGCAAGGAGAATGATGCACGAACTCATGTTCGAAGGACTGGATTTCAAAGTTTTTGTTTGGGCCGCGGGGAGGCGACTGGGAAGGCTATAGCCTCCCCAAAGTCTAGAGCAAATAAGTTGCAAATTTCAGAGAGCAGTTAGAGTCTGCCAACATTGCATGGTAGGACGGAGGCTGACAACGACATCGCCCAAGAGTGTTCCTGCTGTGTCGGGCACTGCGGCTTTGCCACCACCATGGCGAGCAGCTCCTCCGGTTATGCCTCCACCACCGAAGAGATGTACCTTGGCTGATAGTTCAAACATTTTGGGTTGATGTTGCTTTGTTTGGAGAGACACTTACTTTTGCCCGGGAATAAGTTTGAGGTGTGGGCTTTCAATGCGCTTAAACATTGCGCAGGTCGATTGGCGGAGGATGCCACACCACTTGGAGCCTCAGCATCCAGCAGCGCTGTGCCCGCGTCAGCGAGGACCGCACCAGCTGCCCAGACCATGCCCGCTGCATTGCGTGGATTTAGCTTCACCTTCCATGTGTTTGGGGTACAGCACATAGTTGGAGGCGACTACCCAATCCGAGTGGACTGCAACGATTTCAACGACCCCTATAGGAATCCTGAGCTGCATGCTCACCCTGGATGGCACTCGCAAACCCTGTGGAATTGCTTTCGCAGCGAGAGCTGGGAAAATCTATTGAGGAATTTGTTCCGTTGGATCCGGGACGAAGCCGCGCCTGGACAGCATCTCTTTGGGATTTTTTGTACGACCGGACGTTACAGGAGCGTTGCGGTGGCGTGGCTTCTGGAAGAGGTTTTGAAGCAGATGAGTGCAGACAGGATCACCGTCCAATATCTGGCAAGGGAGGCGGGCGAATGGAGCCACCTTTGTAGCAATTGTGAAGATTGCCAAGAGGACAATCCGGCAAAGCAAGAGCTGAAGAGAGCTCTAGCAACTCAACTGACGGAGCTGTGGGCCGAATTGATGCGAAAATGGTGAGCGTGTCATGAGCAGGCTAGCCGCTCAGGAAGCAGCCAGTGGCTCAGGGGTTAAAGTTTAAAGGCACATACGGGAGACAGGTGGCTAGCCCCTGGTCAGTGTACAGTGTATATAATATAGATATGTCTAGGAACTAAAACTGTCCGCGAAAACCTGTGTGTAGAGTGCATGGGCAGATGAAACCAAAGAACGTCCTCAATGACAACGTTAGAAAGCAGGTTCGAGAACCGAGGATCGAGGATCGAGAACGAAGGATCGACAATAATGATACGAGGTTGTCACTTGTCAGCTTGTGAAAAGTCTTTCGGAATGAATGCAATGAAGCGGGCAGAGAAGCAATCATGATCCACCTGGCAATGCCATGCCGCAGCGGCTCGGTACAGTACCGCATACCGAACCAATAAATATAAGGGTATATCCAGCAAGATGCCGTACCAGGCAGCAATTACGCAAAGATGTCCTACAAGGAATCAAAATCAAGGTACTGCATGCACAGCCCCCTCGACCTGTACTGTGCATGTCAACCTCGACGCAGGTGTCACCGGGGAGTTCAGTATACCTCATCCTGAAAATGATCCAGCCAGCATCACTGTACTAGATCGTCCCCCCATAGCACCCACTGGGTGCACGCTACTGGGTGCCCGGGTCCACTACGCTAGTTACATGCGAAAGGCCCTAGCCAATGCCTACGTCTCGCCTACGCTGAAACTCTCGCTAGAAGGGTATCTGTGCACGAGCACTTTCTTGCATGCTGGCCACACAGCATTTGACCAAGGGCCAGGGAGCACCCCGGAAGGGATCCAAGGAGCAATCAAAACACCGCAGCCACAGAGGGGAGGAGCGAAACTTTATAGGCACTGAGCCCCTGCTCGACATGCATGAGACCTTTGCCAAATATATCTGGCTCAAGATCTCGCTCAAGGTGCCTGGTGTAAAGGAGGAACTTTGAGTCTGACTTACTTTGGGCTTTTCCATGCCGCTTGACGAGAATCGAGAATCGAGAATCGAGGATCGAGAATCCAGAATCGAAAATCAAGAATCGAGAATCGAGGAGCGAGGATCGAGGATCGAGGATCGAGAATCGAGGATCGAGGATCGAGGATCGAGGATCGAGAGTCGAGAGTCGAGAATCGAGAATCGAGAATCGAGAATCGAGAATCGAAAATCAAGAATCGAGAATCGAGAATCGAGGATCGAGGATCGAGAATCGAGAATTGAGGATCGAGCATCGAGGATCGAGAATCGAGAATCGAGAATCGATCGAATCGAGAATCGAGAATCGAGAATCGAGGATCGAGGATCGAGGATCGAGAATCGAGGATCGAGGATCGAGAATCGAGAATCGAGAATCGAGGATCGAGAATCGAGAATCGAGAATCGAGAATCGAGAAGCGAGGATCCAGGATCGAGAATCGAGAATCGAGAATCGAGAATCGAGAATCGAGAATCGAGGATCGAGGATCGAGGATCGAGAATCGAGGATCGAGGATCGAGAATCGAGAATCGAGAATCGAGGATCGAGGATCGAGAATCGAGGATCGAGAATCGAGAATCGAGAATCGAGAACATGGCTTGTCAAGCCGGGTCTGAATATAATATAATATAGTTAAATATAATATAATATAATATAAAGTAAGAAAATATAATATAGTTTAATATAAGATAAGATAAGATAATAAAATATAATATATAGTAATGTAATAGTTGGACATCACTGACATCACATCTTCAATGCTCCATGGCCCACTGCACCAAGTCTCCGCCGGGAGTTCTCTGGATCGCTCCACCAGCCGTGATATCCGGAATTGGCTACCTCGCAGGGCCCAAGACAAAGAGTGGCCGTGTTGTTCCTTGGGGCGCCAGAAGATTGTGTCTACATTGTATATATATAATGGTTTATATAAATATTAGATATACAATTCTATTTATAACCATAAATAAATATATATATATATTATACGCCCAATCAATATATACCCCGTCATTCTTTGGCAGCATCGGTTTTGCCATCGTTGGCACCAATTGATATGACCAAGGAAAAGAAACCAGAGGGAATTCGAGGGCATAAACAACCAAAAAAACATGCGGACACAACAAACACGAGCACGGGAATTTGTCACTCAAGCATGTCCTCAAAAACAACCAAGACCCCGTCACCCTAGAAGTTCAAAGGGTTTATATATATATATTTATTTATTTCTAGACTTATTTTTTTAAAAAAACTTTGTCAGTGGGCCCAGCTTATAAATAGCATGAAATTGAGAAGTTTCGTGGCCTGGTATATTATTTTTTTTTGGGTAAATATGCTAAATCTGCTCAGTGCACAAAAAAATCATGAGTGAGGTGAGGACCGTTTGACAGTGCAAAAATGAGAAACAAAAGGATAGCAAAAAATGTTTCGGATGTGGGGTGCAATTTCAATCGTTATCTTGCTATTTTTGGTTCCCCCATCCAATCAGCCCAAGGTCTATGGTTTTTTCCCGAGAGCGCCTGAGCGTAGGGTTCTTCCAAAAAAGAAGTTGAGATAATACGCACGTTCTCATTACATCTTCACATCTTACATTTTCTCTCTATCTCTCTCTTCTCTTCTCTTCTCGTCTCTTCTCTTCTCTTCTCTGATCTCTCCTCTCTTCTCTCTCATCTCTTCTCTTTTAAGGCGGGGGCGGTGGCTACGAACGTTTCGCACGAAATGATGGTCGATCCTCAAAAACGTCGGGAACTGCGATTTTGACGGGCCTATTGCAAACCTTTGTTCGAAATGATGGTCAATCGTCAAAAACGAAAGGAAAACTGCGATTTCCACGGGTCCCGCGCAACCCTTTCGCACGAAATGAGGGTCGATCGTCAAAAACTTAGGGAAAATTGCGCTTTTGACGGGTCCCGCGCAACCCTTTTTGCACGAAATGAGGGTCTGTGTGTAAAAGCGCTGGTGTGTAAAAGCGTCTGTGTGTAAAAGTGTGTGTAAAAGTTTCCGCGTGTAAAAGTTTCTGTGTGTAAAAGTGTCTGTGTGTAAAAGTGTTTGCGTGCAAAAAGTGTTTTTGTGCAAAAACGGCTATGTGTAAAGGTGTCTGTGTGTAAAAGCGTCTGCGTTTAAAGCGGCTGTGTCTAAAAGCGGCTGTATGTGAAAGCGTTTGTGTGTGAAATCTGTGTGTAAAGCGTCTATGTGTAAAAGCGTTTGTGTGTAAAAGCGTCGGTGTAACAGCGTCATGTGTGTAAAAGTGTCTGCGTGTAAAAGCCGTCTATGTATGAAAAGGATGTAAAGTAGCTGTTTGTAAAGGTGTCTGATGTTGCACTTTTTATATAAACTTGGACTGATTTCCTCTTAAATCTCCTAAGCTTAACATTTATCCATCTTCTATTTGTTGTCTTGTAACATGTTCTCTTGATACTATTCTTCTCGTCTGACTATACTACATCTTTAATAATTATATTGTTTTGTTACATTTTGTCTTTTTTTTAACGCTAGAAGAAATTGCTCCTCTACGCTCTCGGGCCATCCGTCGTCTAGTTTTACATCAAAATGGAAGGCTTGAACATACGGTCGTTGCACTATACAATTAAGACATGTACTTTAAATACAGCTTTGGGATACCCGAATTTTGAAAGATACCCATGTGGGCTTGCCGATGCCCTCCATCAATGTACCGGGCCATATTTAGAATTACTTTCTTCGAGTGACCCTCACCCACTGACATTCTACCTGACACATACTCTGACCTTCTATCTGACATTCTATCTGGCATTGTTTCTGGCATTCTATCACGCATTCTATCTGACATCTCTTCTGACAGTCTATCTGGCATTCTATGCGACATCTTGCAATCGCAATTGAGGCCCGCTGAGCTCTGGCACTCACCGTTGAGGTCCGGAAGTGCCCACTGACATCTGGCGGTTGCGGTTGAGGTCTGGCAGTGCCAACTGAGGTCTGGAGCGCGCGGTTGAGGTCCGGCATTGCCCACTGAGCTCTAGAGCTCGCGGTTAAGGCCCAGCTGAGATTTGGAGCTCACTGTTGAAGTCCGGCAGTGAGCTCTGGAGTTCGTGGTTGAGGTCCGGCAGTGCACACTGAGCTCTAGAGCTCGCAGTTGAAGCAGAGGCGGAGTCCGAGGCGGAGGAGGTCGAGGCGGAGGGAGGCGGAGGCGGGCAGGATGTCTGATAAAATCTAGAGGCCCTCACCTGGCAGGTGGGGAATTGTCAATTTACATGGTCATATTTAGAATCAACCAGTTGTAGATGCACAATCATGTACCTATGAACAATTACAATTGTCCTTTCCTCCGTTGCTATGTTCAATTCCCAGAAGGTACCCTCCATTAATCAAACATAGCAATGGACAGTTCCATGTTGTTTATAGAAGATTTTCCCATTTCAATGTCTATGTTGTTTAGGGGTTTCCCAGCGGCCCACCATGCTTGATTTCCCTAATTGCACTCGTTTATGAAATAAAATCTCAGTAAAACGGCTCATTTAGTTTGATGATTTATTTGTTGAAGATTTTCATGTTCCATTGCTATGTTAGGTTTCCAGAGGGTCTACTGACTTAATTATCTAAACAACTGCATGCCAGGTATATATATATATCCACATAATAAAGCCCTCATTATACAACCGGCTTGTTGGATCACAATGAGATGTCCACAAAGTCTTGTCTGTTCACCCCAGGTTTACATAACATTGGTTCCACCATGTGCTTACTAGCGCTGAATCTAGATAGGTGAATACACATATACATAATATAAACAAATAAAACAATCAGCATATATATACATATGACATATATAAATATATATGATATATATATATATGGTCCCGTGTCCCGTGTTCCCACCCCCCCCCCCCCCCCCCCATGGGATGGCGGGGGGTATGATGCCCCTGTGGTGGTGTATATACATATATACATACATACATACCTACATACCTACCTACCTACCTACATACATACATACACACATACACACACACACAGACATACCTACCTACCTACCTACCTACATACATACATACATACACGCATACACACAGACATGCATACCTACCTACCTACCTACCTACCTAACTACCTAACTACCTAACTACCTAACCTACCTACCTACCTACCTACCTACGTACACATGTACACACGTACACGCGTACACGCGTACACACGTACGCACGTACCTACATACATACATACATACATACATACATACATACATACATTACATGACATTACATGACATTACATGACATTACATGACATTACATGACATACATGACATTACATGACATTACATGACATTACATTACATTACATGACATTACATGACATTACATTACATGACATTACATGACATTACATTACAATACAATACAATACAATACATTACAATACATTACAATACATTACAATACAATACAGTACAATACATTACAATACATTACAATACATTACAATACATTACAATACATTACAATACATTACAATACATCACAATACATTACAATACATTACAATACATTACAATACATTACTATACATTACAATACATTACAATACATTACAATACATTACAATACATTACAATACATTACAATACATTACAATACATTACAATACATACATAGATACATACATAGATACATACACACATACACACATACACACATACACACATACAGACATACATACATACATACATACACACACAGACATACATACCTACCTACCTACCTACATACCTACATACCTACAAACCTACATACCTACGTACCTACGTACCTACGTACACACGTACCTACGTACCTACGTACACACGTACATACGTACATGCATACATACATGCATGCATGCATACATGCATACATCCATACACCCATACATCCATACATCCATACATCCATACGTCCATCCATCCATCCATCCATACATACATACCTACCTACATACCTACATACCTACATACCTACATACCTACATACCTACATACCTACATACCAACATACCTACATACCTACATACCAACATACCAACATACCAACATACCACCACCACAGGCCACAGCGGGGGGGGGACCAGAAGAACCATACCACCACCACAGGCCACGGGGGGGGGGGGGACCAGAAGAACCATACCACCACCACAGGCCACAGGGGGGGGGGACCAGAAGAACCAGACGATACAGTCCACCCATACCCATTGGTGGTGGGGGGGGAGGGGGGCTGGCCAACGCTGCACCATATATATATGTTATATATATGTAAATATATGTTATATATATATATATACATTATACATATATATATATAATTATATATATGATATCTATCTATCTGTCTATCTATCCATCTATCTATCTAATCTAATCTAATCTAATCTAATCTAATCTATCTATCTATCTATCTCAGGGTACATCTTGTAGAGACAGCATCCCTCACCTTGGCGCGACCCAAGGTATGAACGCCCATGAGGGCAGCTGCTTGCGTCCAGTCCAAGCCCATGCGCTGAACGAAGGTCTCGTCTACCTGGTGCCGGCCCCATAGTTCGGGAGTTTGTCATTAAATCTGACGTTAACATGGTTTAACGTGGCTCAACCATCTATATAAAATGGGGATTGGTCATGATAACTGGAGATATAGTGATGATCAAGGTTGATAATTGCGGGGTTTAACCAACCAAAATATGGGTGGAGTACCTGGGGAAACTCCTAAGACATATCAAGGGCATGCCCCAGTTCGTTAGCTAAGTTGGTTTGTAATTAGGCTAACTTGTTACTGTTACTAGTTAACTGGGTTTACATACACGCTTATATCTTCGAACAGGCGATGGAGGGCTTACGCTTGTGGGTGAGGCGGTATGGAATGGTTTCAGGGAAGGAAGGTAGGCTTACCATCGAAATACGTGGTTTCACTTAAAATTCTCCTGGGAGCGGGCTAATGCCGTGATACCCCCAGCACCCAGATTTGACATCTAGCAGTCTAGCATTCCTGGGCACACCCTCCGTGAAACCAGTCCTGTTGTGGGAGCAATTGACAGCGAAGGGAGACACATACTCTCTGTAAAATCAATGCGGATTGTTTTTTGGGCATGTTCCTCCCATTTGAACTTACACACAAAACAGAAAAAACAACCAAAGCAACCCCCAAGAAAAATGCAGAACATGCTAAATTTCCCCCTACTTTCCCCTACTACTCTCGAGCAACCCCTGCTAATCACTGCTCATAAACTGATCAACATATCAACAGCTTGATAGTTCCGAACCACTGGTTGAATCAAATGGTTTTTGTCTATTTAGCCATGTCACAAACTATATCAGTTTTAAAAGTCTCATATAATAGCTATTATTGTACTTGGTACTAGCCAGCGATTTAATCCCCTTACTTTTACGGCTTGGCAAATGCCCAATTTTTTAAACCCCACCCAACTGTTCAACTGAATGTGTCATCTCAGATATTTGAAAGTGATGTGAGTCTAATCCACCAAAACAAGACTTTTACCAACCCATGCTGACTATGAATCCCATGATTTTGATATGTTAACCCCATTATATTTACCATAATTGACGTTGTTTTTTATAGCAATATCTGGTCACTAATTATATCATTATGTCGGTAAACATGGTCACTCTGTCTAAAATCTGTACGGCGTTATAGATACTAAAACCATTGGATTACACTATAGAACACACTACTCAGTAGATTACATTGACCGTTATTGATTGATAATATCAAATGATACCACATACTAAATGGAGGTTTCCTAAAATAGGGGTACCCCCAAATCATCAATTTTTGTTCGGGATTTTCTAAACCATCCAGCTCTTGGGGTACCCCAATTTATGCAAACCCCCATATAGCCGTTCTCCTCCAAACGAAACTTGTTAAAGCCAAGGCTCCGCATCACAGCCACGCTCCGGGTTGGGAAGGCGTCCCACGGCGAAGTCGCAACTGCTGGCCTTGGAGCAACCGAATCCATGGGGAAGTTTCAGTAGCCAACAATGGGCACCCAGAATCTGAGAGAACCTGCAAAACCTGCAGCTTCCCACGCTTTTTGAGAAACTGGGAAAGAATAACTTGGGATTCTTCAACGCCAAATGAATTTGAATGTTGTTTTAAATGTGTCTTCGACGCACCCTGTTTTACTGGAATCATTCTTCCGTTCAAAATCAGCACTGGAATAAGACAGCTTCAAGTTTAAAACTAGACAAATGTCTAGGACATGAAACAATCCCCAAGACATCATCAAACCACCTGAAAAACCAGGTGAAACGACAGTGAAAAACCTAAGGCGACTGGGAACTAAGAGGCCCTTTGGCATGGGATTTGTTCAAGCACATGCCGGAGGTAAAAGTAAGCCATGGAACTTTGTTTTGCGAAGGCTAAAATATGTATGTATGGTACTTCAAACCGAAAAGTCAAACTTAAATAGATTAAAAACTATGTGTGATGTATCAAACATCAATCATTGTCTAATGTGTGTCAAAAAGTGTATCAAATATATTTGGTTAAAAATGACATGTTCATTCTACAATATACGTTTAAACTGTTAAGTATAATATCTAGTTAAAGATCATGCTGCATATTCGAATTGAAATAATATATATGCTGAACATTTATCAAAGTATATTTCAAAGCCATAAACTGACAAAGTTTAAGTATATTCTATTGCACATGCTGCACTAAACAATAATTCTATATGCGTATATTTATGTGTATATTCATTATCTATTAAATTTCAAATTTACCGTTTCTCACCCACACAAGATACGACAAATCCAGATGACAGATGCCAAGTTTGTTGGATTGATATTGCTGATGGGCAGGTGTTTTGTTTTTTCTTCGCACGCAATTCTTAAAAGGGCATGTGATAATTGAGATGAAAACCAACCAAACTTGCGGACCGATTTGGGTCAAACATGCTAAGTTGGTCTAAGTCGTCAGTCTTCATAATTGTGCATCTCTGAAAACAGTAACAGAAACACAATTGAAGATGTGGAAATGCTTGATGTTCTCATTAAAAGACTCACCCTGGCCCCAGGCCCAACTGCGGCCAAGCGCTGTCTGTCGGCCAAATTTGAAAGCTGCTCGGAGGTCTAGGTGAGGGGCTCCTGTACGCGCACTGCGCTCAAGAAAAACAACAAAACAAGACTTAAGGCCTATCATCATAAACCCTGTCAATCGGCCATCCGGCGCGGATAGTCCATTTTCAGACACACCCAAAGATCATATTGCAAATTGCAAATGCTGTAGTTATTTTATGTTAATTCATGTTAATTCGATATATGCCCATGATATCGCACTATGAAATCACTATTAAACCACCCTTAAATCAACATCCTCCCAGATTTCTTCCAATTTTCCCATGCCCCCATCGGTGTCCTGGGCTGGCATCCTCGTACCTAGCCCTGGTCGATGCAATGACCGCCTCCGCTGCTATGACCAAGAAATCTGCCAAGGACACGTCGAGGCAGTACTGATTGTACACCTCCAGTTCCGGGTTGAGAGAACTTGACTTTATATTTATATAGGATAAATGTGGTATAAATATCGCCCTGTGCTTTCCGCAGGGGTGATGTTGTTCAGGCACTTTGTAGATACACGTCCACGGGCACAACCTCATTGCTACAAAATGCAGTTTGGCCAACAATGAAAATATTGCTACTAAATGCATAAAGATGGAAGCTACAAAATGTTTTTAAAATTCTAGCACGATTTAACATGAGGACTAACATGAATTTTGAATAATTTTGGATGATCCAGGGACCCCAAGGACGGCTTGCTACAAAATGCAGAGAAATTTAAGGAACCACCATTTGACAAAAGGAGCGAAGTCCTACTCACAGGTATGCAACATGTTTTCCGGAAAAAAACATGTGTTTTCAGTCAAGTAATTATATATATATATATATAAGTCAAGTAATTATATATGTATATATATATATATATATATATGTTTGGCGCATTTTCGGATGCATACGTTGCTTAAATGTGTTTTCACATGTTGATTATTTTTGATTACATGTTTGCTTGTTTTGGCCGTTTCGGCTGTCGTGGTGAGCCAGCCCAGAGAAGAGATGAGATTCGGCATGAACGATGTAGTTCGCGCCTGAATTTCCACCACACTACTATCTATATCATATCCTACTGCAAAGTCTTGTAGTGGGGGTTGCAATCACCTGGAGTTGATTGGGTGGTTGTAGGCCTTTTGGTTGACAGAAACTCTGAGCATGGAGTTGAACCTGCGTGAAATTCGAATACTAGACAAAAAGAAAACGGACCTAGTAGAATTGGACACACTTGGATTGTAATTACCACGGCTCAGAGATTCTACCACAGTTGTCAGAGCTATGGAGCAACAGAAAGGATCTAAAATATACAGTTGAAGTTTCAACGCTAAATGATTGATTTTGAAACTAAATTTGTCCCACAGTTGTCGTTTTGAAAGTCTCTACGTAGTTGTTTGTCTCTGTATGTATCAAAAAATCCTATCAAAATAACGGATTTGTAGCAAGTACACATTGACTCTTTTCGTAATGGGAAATGAAGGGAAATCGCTAGTTTTTAATAACTTCACTACAAAGATCTAGAAAAATATGTGATTCCATCCACCGTACCCCTGGAATGTACTAGAAAGTGCACCCAACATTCACTACAAAGCGACCATCAGCGACCATATGCGACCATACTAAAAAGGAACACTATCAACTACAAAACGCTATTTTGTCTAAAATTATGTTGATCGTATCCATGAAGATCATGTCCTACTATAAAATGCTAACACAGACTACAGCTACAAACTACATTTCGTTGACCATATTTTCTGCAAAATCCTAGGAAATTTAGATTCAGTAAAAAGCACAGCATCAGGAACTTTGCTGTGGAAATTCCAAGCGGGGTGTATACATTGGGATACTAAATGATACTATGGAATAACAATAATTAATATGAAACATATGGGTTAGTTGGACTGAATTGGTGGTTCAATAGGGCTCATTGGATATTAAAAAATGGGCGGTTCATTATATAAGAGACATTGCTGCTTTTGGAGAAACACAAGCTGCGCAGGGCGCAGAAAAATAAATTGCTTATAATTTTATCAAACATACAAAAAACAGTTTGGGATACTGTACACCATGCAAATACACACATGTATACATGTATGCACACATGTATACACATGTTTTTTAATATTATATATATATTGCATAGATGGGTTAAAATATGGTTTATTGATGCATTTCCTGCCTCATATGAACATCCAAGTACAGTTTGGAAATACCTGGGTCGACTAGATTTCCTGCAGGAAAAGCGTTTAACATTTTTTTTGAATCCTGGCATGAAAACACATTTTAATATATAATTCATTGAATTTTGTCAGCAGCGGCCTTTGAATACCTTGTCCGGAAAACAATCATTTACAAAAATCAATATTTGAATCAAGGGTCATGGTGTTCAATCAACGTGTACCAAAACCAATGCCAACAGAAATATCCAGCCCCCAAAACTGACCCATACAAAACTGTAAGGGTCTAGTTACTAGTTGTAGCAAGCAGCGTGGGCTTGGAAGGTGCGCGCCAGAAGCGGTGTTGAATTCCAAGGCGCCCCCCCACGATTCGAAGGTAATCAAAGGGCAACAAAAACAATTGCAGCATCTGTTTTGGGGGGACATGATTGTGTGGAACAGCATCAAAACCCTCACGAACAGCTATAAGGCACCAAGGAATAATTAATGCATCGAAGGCCAAGGCGCTTCTTGCAACGATTTGCCATGTTCGCCTGAAGCAAGGCATTCTGGCAACCCTGCATTCTCAGGATCTTCCATGTCCGTGCAGGCATCAGATCCCCCCTGGCCATTGGCGAAATCCTTGGCGATGAAGAATGTGACACAAACACAGAAACACACAAACACAAACACCCACACACACATTCACACACACACACACACACCCACACACCCACACAAGAATGGATCTATAGTTGATCCGTTTGGAACTGAATCCCCTCACGTGCTAATTTGACTGGAAAACAGTAACCTAAGAAGTATTATTCGAGTAATGGGAGGCACTCCGAAAAGACAATCACGACCAGAAATGCATTCAAATAGAGCACAGAAAATAAACAACCAGAGTCACGATCAAAATTCCATCGAATAAAATTACCACGTGGACAATTAAGTAAAATAACATTGAAAATAAGCTCAGGTTGCGGCGACCGTGTAAATGTGAAATATGACATTGTGGTTGTTGGGGTTCTTGGCTTAGTCCCTTGCCATTGCAGCGAAAAAATTGCAGGTACGTCACCAGGCGTCCCTGGTGATATCCTAGGATCATATGAGGAGCTTCGTGGGATGGAGCCTCATATGTCCTCTCCATCCGCGTCAATGGCATAGGTCATCGCTGCATTCCAATTGGGTCGAGGATCCGACATTGCACAGTGGCAAAGCAGAACCAAGACTGCCGGGTCTATGTAGAACACGCCACTGCGTAATCGTGTTTGCCACTCCTCCTGTCAAAATGGCCAGATCGCTGTCTGTGACACCGACCATACCAAAGAAGCGTCCAAACATGGTGTCCACAAGGACTATAGCTGGCCGTTTCAAGCATGGCATCCCCGATGACGAACATCTGAGGCACCAACATTGCGTTGGCTGCTGTCCATGCCCGCCGAGCTTCACACAAATCCCCGGCTGGAGATATCTGTGGAAACAACTCCGAGGCCCGAATCTTGGCAAAAGCGTCAAGACTCAAAGCGGCGGTTGTGACAATCACCAATGGGTGCTCAGCTGAGTCAACTTCATTGGAGAGCTGACCACTTCAGAGCTAAGCGCTGAAAGCACATCCAGAAGGCTTAACAGCTGTGAGCCATACAGAACGTCTGGCACAGCTGAGAAGGTCATGGCCGAGGGGGCAGCATCGCGCAAGATTTTGGCAAAGCCAGTCGGGCGCTGTGCTCTCTCAGCCGCAGGAGGCGCCTGTGGAGGAGCCTTCACTGCTGCCTTCGCCTTCGCCTTAGCGGCGGCTGAATCCGGAACTGCAATATGCAGTGTATCCACCGGAGTAGCCTTTGGCCGCACGGCATTGTTGCGCACCATGATGCTAAATGATTTGCAGCTATAGAAGAAATGCTTGAGCCAAAATGGCTACTCAATACACACACACACACATACACACACTTACTTGGATACACCCCGAAAGGAGAGGATGAAATGAGATGAAATGAAATCATGTCATGTTATGTTACCATGTCATGTCGGCAAGGGTGGTTTATGGCTTAGCCACCTGGCCATATCCGAAATCAGAAATTTGTAGGTACGTTTTCACCCCCATGCTGTCCGGTCTTCGTTGGCCAGGACATGGTCCTGTTTCCTTCAGTGCTGGGTTGTGACGTGGAACGTGGTGCTCAAGTGTCTGTGTACATGGGTCGTGGGTGTCACCCAGTGACGTGTGTTGTTTTGCTTGCTCCAACATGTACAACAAACCAAAGGAAGTTTCGCCAGTTCCACTGAAGAAGGCAGACAAAAGCAACCACTGCACCAGAGTTACCGGCTGCTCGGTAAGCAACCAACGACCGACAGAAAAAGCTGGTATAACGGTATAACGGCAAGGCGCTGTTTCGCTCAGTGCTGGGTTGTGACATGGAACATGGTGCTCAAAAATGTCTGTGTACATGGGTCGTGGGTGTCACCAATGAGGTGTGGTGTTTTGCTTGCTCCAACATAAAGCGAAAGGAAATTTCACGGCGTTCAGTGCAATTTCCACTGAAGAAGGCTGAAAAAAGCAAAGCACTGCATCAGAAATTGCCGGCTTCTCAGCAAGCAACCAACGACTGACAAAAAAGGCTGGTAACGGCATGGTGCTGTTTCTCTCAGTGCTTGTTTGTGACATGATTGCTAGGTTAGCGTGAAGCGTGGATGACAAGTTGAAATCTGGGGATGAAAAATCTGTATACTGGCGAATTCTGAACATGTAATGTGGCGATTTCTGAACGACTCTGCTTCTGCTGAATTATGATAAGCAACGTCTGGATGCTTGTGCGGAATCTGCTTCTGGCAACATGATGTCTGGGAAATGTTGAAAGTAATCTGGTATCCCCGGTGGACGCACAACCAAGCTTCCCCGGCACTTTATCAGAGATCCGGGTGCATGAGGAAGACACACTTGGATACACCCCCGAAGGGAGAGGATGAAATGAGATGAAATGAAATCATGCCATGCATGTTACCATGTTATGTCGGCAAGGGTGGTTTATGGTTTAGCCACCTGGCCAAATCCGAAATCAGGAATTTGCATGTACGTTTTCACCCCCATGCTGTCCGGTCTTCGTTGGCCAGGACAGACATTCATGGGTTCCTGGCCCCGTGCTGATACCCTTTGATTCAGGGCTTTCCACACAGACACATGCTAACATTATATTGAAAAATCAATAAATCACATGTGCTCCGTGGTCAGAACATTGGATATCCATGGTGGTGTGATGGCAGACGCAAGCAAAAGTCAAAAACGAGCTGGCGCACGGGCTAACACAAACGGCTATAAGGTGAGTGAAGTCCAGAACCTTTTTCTTCGATGTTACATAGCCCCTCAAAATGCCAAGGCTCCATAAAATCGTGACCCGCCATTCGCAGCACGCATCCGGCCCAGTCAGCTTGATTTGGTGACGCCGGGTACATGCACAAACTGCAGGCAGGACTGGCAGGACTGCCCACCAATCGCCGATTCAGCTACGGTGCGAGCAACGAGCTGCTTATGTTTCTCCTGGTCCCTTGATGCCGCCCGGGTTTTTGTTGCAGATTGCATTCTTGAAATTATATCTTAAAACATCAAAAAATACTGTCCTGCCCGCTGTTCTTCGCAAACCTTGGGCAGCCAGTCTTGACGCATCAGTTTCCCTTTTTCCAGTTGGTTTGCGCAAGGGCAACCGTGCAACATATCCACGCCAAATAACGGTCCGCGGTCTACAATGATTCGCTAGTTCTGAATCAGCGAAGGAAATCTCGAACAGTAATTTAAAAATGTGTCCATGACTTTTTTTGTGGTTTCGGTTTCGGAAGTCAGGCAAAATCGCACTCATGGGTTCACGTTCCGGCCCGCGTTGAATAATAAACTGGGCCCAGGAAAAGCCGTTTCACGATCAGCAAAGCCAAGTTCACCGTGAGAATTCATGGGCCCAAATCAATTGCCAATGGCCAGTTGCAACATCCACAAGCTTGGTATGATTTGTGGGTGTAGTGGTGTGTTGGTATGGTTTTTTGGGTCTATAATATACAAGCATTTCAGTATATACTTTGTGCCCCGAATGAGTTCCCACGCTCTGGGTCGAACATGGCTGAATCATCAAAACGCCATGGGTTCTACTATAGACTAAAGAGACTAAAAGTTCTTCTGTCCATATTCCCTTATCCGACTCCGGGATTGAAACAGCCAGTCGATTGGCTACTTTGGGGTGCGGTTCCACTTATACAGGAACCATATCTCAACCTACCGGTTGGTTACCTTTATATATGTTTATGTATACAGTATATATATATATATATTATACATGCACATTTCAAGCAACCCCAACTGCACCCCAAAGTAGACATCAACTGCACCCATAGCATCCACGACACCTCGGAACGTTCTGGGAGCCAATATCTGGTCATAAATCTATGGTATATTCAATGGGGTAAAGCCAACATTCCCAAATGGGGTTTATGCAATTGGTTCAACAGTCTGCCCCTTCTCTTGTAGCTCAATCTCATCATTCCAGTGACGTGGCTTAGTCCTGACAATTTTTCTCCAGTTTGTCCCACATAGCTATCATCATACTCGCCATTCTTCCAGCATTTTTCTATATTTTTGTTGCTGAAGTCACCATTTTGGATGGCTTTTTCCAGTTAAATCATCATCAAAACTTCGGAAAACCAGCAGTATGGTACGGTAGCATGACCCGGCACCAGCTCGCCACGGGCGCCTGAGGGCAGTCTGAAGCAGTGCAAGTTGCACTCAAGGATTCCTGCGGCGCCAAAGCACATGTTTTTGACGCTGTCCACGTGCATGTGTGCATTTGAAAATATGGACATGTGACATGTGCATATGGTTGTGTGAATTATATACATGTGTGCGTGCGTAATACGTAATTGTGAAACAATTGGACACTTACAATCTCTCAACATCTCTCTGCCAAATGAATATGCTGTATATACTGTATATATGCATATGTGCAATACACAAAAGACTAATATCCTTATATCTGGCCCCAAACAGATCCAACACAAACTGAAGTTCCTTCCGGGTGTCTTACCACGAGGGGGAAGCATTAGCGTCCATACACACATATATATATATATATATCAGTCACTGGCAAGAGTTACATCCACCAAATGGTCAGAATAAAGATACATCGATATCATATTATCAGAACAACATTATCAGATCCTACGGGCATGGGCCAACACCTCCTCATCCCATATTTCAAGGCGTTCCTGTTGGGACACCAGCAAACTTTCGGACACTTCCATTTACCAGCCAATTGGATCCAATCGGTGCGAACTACAGGCTACCAGAGTCTTGACATACGTCATAAATTGATTCAATCATCAAAACCAGTGACCATCTTAGATACGAAGCAGAACAAGACGTACTTCCTGGGCTCTAATGAAATATACCATGAACATGGCCACCAAACATCCAACTCACAAAACTAATTTCAACCCAGAAACACTGGTTTCCAGTTTTTATATGGCAGCCTCCATCCATCCTACACCTAAACAGAGCAGCACTTGTGCTGGTCACCTGTTTAAAGCCACCAGCTGACAGCCTTGGCTCACAGCCAAGGGTCCAGCTGACCACGTACCGCAGCGACAATGGCATCATATTGGGCAGATGTCAAGCATTTCGTCACATCTGTCGCACCTGGCGCGGTCTGATTCAGACCTTCTTTGTTTCTACCAGAAAGGAGCAATCATGTACCACTAATCCCGTCCATCTGTTAAAAACAGCTCAGGGGTTGCATAAATATTAATATATATATATATATTATGTTATATTTTATTATCTTATATTATATTATATTATACTATACTATATTATAGAATATTATATTATATTATAGAATATTATATTATATTATAGAATATTATATATGTATATATTAAAATTAAATTATATTATATTATATATGTGTGTGTTTAGTATGTGGTGATCAATATGTTTACCAAATATGTTTGGGGCTGGCCAAAGATGTTTGTACCAAGGGCTCTCGGGATGAAGAGTTTTGGCGCAGTGAAGCTTCAGCCCATTCCAGTTTTCGAACCTCATCAACTAGCTGTCTAAAGTCTAAAAAGTAAAAAAAATGCGTTTCTTCAAACCTGCAAGTTGCAAGACTTGAATATACAAGGTGGTGCCCCCCCCAGTTATAAGTGGGTTATAAGTTATAATCCCATTAACTATAGATTCTATAGATATCACACGTATAAACCATAGTTATTAGACTTATAAACCAACTTAGCTAACTATGGGGCACCACCTTGTATACACATATACAGATAGACACAGACAGACAAACAGATGGCACCTGTGCAGGCCATGAGCACCGCAGGAGTGGCAGTGGCCTCGCACGCTGGGGCCATGGCGGCCAAAATCCTCGCCGCACAAAGTGGGATGGATGGAATGGATTTTACCACTTGGTCCTGGGGGTAAGCCAACATAAACTAACAATTTCATGGATATACAATATATATATATATAATATTACTGTATATAAATCTAGTAGATTACAATAGGATGTTATCGGAAAAACAGTAATTTCATGAGGATGCGTTGGGATATTGGTATAACTAAGCAACGATATGAAAATGCAATCCCCCTAGTGTGAGACGCCATAAGGGCCACAAGATGAACAAATCCATTTCTACACCAGGTGGTGTAGACAGTTTTTGCATATGCGGGGGCTCATTATGGTTTAGAACATACAGTAATTTTCCCCATTAAACGTGCCTCCAAGTTTCAGACGAACCGAGATGAGGGTCTAGGTATGTCTAGGTACTGGTGAGACATGTAAATTGTTCACTGATTTAAGGGGTTGTTTGGAGATGTTCACTCCCATAGGCCCATAGGAGATCATCGGCTTAAGAAACAGTGAAAAACAACATGTCGTCTCGGTGGTAAAGATGTCAAAAAACACATCAGAATCTGCGTAGTTCCCACCGGTCATTTTGTTGTATACATTACAAAAATGGTTCCCTTCCTAGATTCTATGGCTATAATGCTACAAGTATCTGCCCTGAGGAGGCCCTGGGGAGACATCCTCTGCGGGTGCCGCTGAGCCCACCCAACCGTGAATATAACTACCATCGATATCCATGAGCCCCCAAATAGCCAAGTATACGGCAACAGTTCACCAACTAGCTAACTATATACTAGTCATCAGCAAAAAAACATCCTTACAGCTGTGGGACAAAACCCTGGCACCCTTCTGATTCCTTCTGTTCACACCAAAAATAAATTGCAGTTCTGGATGTTCATCCAAAAAAAATGGTAGAGGTATTGATCCATAGCGACACCATTGCGGGCCGAGCATCGCATAGTGCCATCTCATTCTCGAACAAAAATCAGCGTTGCGCAGGCACGCGGCGTCAGCACTGCGTCGTGGGCGCTGGGCTGGAGCCGAACCAAATGGCTACAGCTTCCGGAGTTCATGCAAAAAAATGCTTAAATTTGGAATCCAACCAAGAGGCAAAAATAGCAGCGACACATCAAGGCACAAAATGAACATCATATATACAGCAGATCATAATTATATAATTACACATACTATTAAGTTGCTTCAACATCCAACAACAATATCGGGTCTTGTATTTTTCAAATCGGTGATTACACCACCTGAAGAAACCAGATCGGAAAGCCCCTTCGCATTCACCAAGCTTTCCCATGTAACATTCCCAGCATATCCCAATCATAGAGGATCATAGATGCCCGGCATGGCTTTCTGATGGTTAGATGATATATAATTTAAATATGTTTAACACTTTTTAAGCTCACATCCCCAGATATAGCAACAACTGAATACAAATGAACATGATTAAACATGGAATCCCTTCACCCTAATATCTCCTAATATTAGAACATCAAAATAACCTTAAAAAAATCACATTAATCACTACCCTGTTTTTTTTTTAAACTCGCTTGAGTATTGGATCTGTTCCTTTTGGGCGCCCTGGTATGGGGATGTTGACCCAGCCCTGGACCTGCCGTTTCATCTTCGGCCAACTGGACGGAAGCGCGACGTTTCGGAGAGTAGGACGCCACCCCCTGGACGCCGGAAAATAAGGCGTCGCTTCGTCGTTGCCAAAAACTGTTGGGAAAGATCCAGGTGAATCAAGGGGGAAACAACAAGAGTGAAACTTCAATTGTTGTGACATGTTGTGACAAACTGTCTTTAAGCATCTGAAACGCTGAAAATTTGCAGAGTAGACTACAGTAGACTTCCGTCTTTTGATGGGATACAAAAGCCAAAGAGTTCCCTTGATTCATGTATATCATGGGGCCGTGAATTCATAAGTGGTCAAACAAGTGGGGTCTGCCATGATGGCCCGATGGCAGCTCCTATCGCATCAACCGCGCTTCATAGAAACATCCCTATTTTGTTCCTATGCTGCACAGTAATGCTTAGATTGCACAGATTTGCACAGTAAGCCATGTAATGTGGCAACTCCAATAGTCAACCATCCCCAGTCATTGTTGGGCCCGGTTGGGCAGCGCACCTCCGGCCAACAGGTGTAGATACCTCGGGAAAATCGACGAAAAAAGTCGACTGCTGCGTCGACTTAGTGCTCCGCTCTGAGGAGTACACGTCCAGGCTCCGCCCAACCTCCATGGGATGGCTATCGGGATCATGTCTTGAAACCTTTTTTCTCAAATACATGTAATAAATAAGTAGATCGATACATAAATTAATATGTGTATATATCTATATACATATAAATATACTGTAATTACTTGTAATTAAATATGATGCCCACTTATGTAATAATATATTTACACAGACATCTATCTATCCCATGGTTGGAAACTCAATTCGTCGCTTCGGAATGTTCATTTGCTCAAGGAAAAACAGAGACGAATGGCTCGGAATAGTTCCCTCTGTTCACCGACCCGTTGCGCCTCCCAGCACAGCACAGCGCAACGGGGGCTCATCGGGTGTCCCCACGGGCTGAGACAATCCAGCCTGCCACGCTGCTCCCTGGGGCGGAAAATACACCTAGACTCAGTCGTCCTTCGGCAAAAACTAATTATGGAAAGTGCGCGAAGATCCGGAACCGTGCTCCAAATGGGTTCACAAACATTGATTTCCATATTGTTACTATAATATGATTACCCTCTGGTAACTTAACGTAGCTATTGAAAATGGCCATTAATAGTGGATTTTCCCATTAAACATGGTGATTTTCCATAGTTATGTTAGTTTACCAGAGGGTAAATCACACTGTAAGGGTCACCAATCACCACCAGATATCTTTCCATCGCCTGCCCAGCTTCACCATCTTTTGCCCTTATCCTGGCGGTGTTTCTTAAGAGGTGAGGTCCTCCAGTTATAGGCCGGTTTCCAACCCCCATTGACTATAGAATACCCTCTGGTAAACTAACATAACTATGGAAAACCACCATTTTTAATAGAGAAAACAACTATTTAAATGGGCCATTTTCAATAGCTATGTTGAATTACCAGAGGGTACATAGAATACACAGAATGCATAGAATATCCGCAATAGTTAACCTAGTTATAAACCGTCGAACGCAAGGGTTTGTAGAAGTCCTTCAGACCAATTCCGTCGACGGGTGACTATGGTGGGAACCTGTAACTCCTGATGTGTTCACTGATCACCAAGGACATCATGTCACAATTCCACCCGTTTCCAGTCAGCCGTTGGGGATGGTTCATGATTCTGCTCTTCATCGTTTTGATGGTTTGTATGTGTATACTATATATAAATATTATAATCATACATATATAATCATATATATGGGTAAATGTAAATATACAACCCCACCCACTGTTGGATGTTATCCTATTGCTTCTAGATCCCCAGTTCAAGAGTGGTATGCCCCCATTCCAGTAAGTCATTGGGGGTGGCCTATGTTGGCCGAGGGTTATACCATGTTTACCCCGCATGTGTGGTTGTCAAACCACTATGGCAGATCATAATATTGAATCCACCACCACCACAACAAAAAACTACATGTGATGCTTGAAAACGTCTCATGGTTAAAAACACCTATCGTTGAATACCCCCCCAATCATTGGATTGGTTTTGTTGGGAAAATCTTCACCGGAAAAACCAAACAAAAATGGTGGTTTCCGGTTTTCAGATTTTCCCAACAAAACCAAGCCATTGACCCTCTTGGCCTCGCCAGGATCCGCAGCTGCCAAGGCCAAGTCTCCTGGGACATGGGGACATGGGGTACCCGCTTTTACAGAAAGATGTGGAAAAACCATGGGATTTTAGCCATTGGGAACATGATCTACAAATGGGTTTAACTCACATCATCTCACATCTGTGTTAGTTTACTGGAGGGTAAGCATGCGAAAATTGTAGGATAAGAGTAGTACAGTATCTATCAATGGTGCCATCTATATACATGCTGACTGTGGGAATAATGACTATAATGATGTATGGATTTATGGGGGCAGCATTTATATGGATTCCTGTCATATGGATTTATTCTGAACAAATCCATCTATAGGAATATTGTTCCTCATAAATGCCTCAGCTATTGCTTGCATCTTCGTCAGTTTTAGCGCTGCTCTCTGTAGTCGTCAGTGCAAACCCTGTTTTGCATGGGAAATGGCCCTCCAAAAAAGTGACCCTGACCTATCGCTAGGGATGACCCCTCTCAACCAAAGGGAAAAGGACATCGATTCATCGATGGATGAAAGCACCCGCATCCTGCAGGGCATCATTCTGCAGGACGCAGTAGAGTTGCTGTCGCGACTCCGCTCCGCAGAGGCTTAGTGATGTCATGACCTGAAGTCACTGAAGTCCCAGGACTGTCGGTGAAAACATGTGAAAGCTCTTGACAGAAATCCCACATGGGAACCGAGCTTCAGGCAGTTTCTTCCTGAAAAGGATAATACACCACATACATATCTATATATAAACATAAATATGACATATAATTGTATATACTATATACATTGACATGATTGCACATGTATGTGTGTATATTTATGCACATTATGCGTATATATATATATGTGTATCTATGTATCTATGTATGTATGGATGGATGCATGCATGCATGTATAGTACGCCGTTTGACAATACAAAGCCCCTGCCATTTATCGATGTTTGATCATATGGAACACCTTTGTTGTGGGAAATGCATTTGGGACCATGTTGGGATCCCCCAGGATCCCCAGGGGATTCAACAAAAATGATGACGCAACGGTTACACCCAAATTATAGACATAGGGGCTCTCTATGATCTCTATGTTCATTAAAATCAAAACCCACGAAGCGCATTGAACCACAAAGCGCACCCGCGAGTGCTGAGACAGAGCGTTCTTCTTTATGGCTGGAGACTCTCATCAACAAAAACCACTGGTTTCCTTTTGGTTTTTCCTCGTCATCTATAGAGTTGCAATACAGACATCTCTGGCAATGTCCAATCAATTTGGCCCCAAGACAAGGGGGCCGAGTTCTCCAAGGGGCATAACTGCCCACGGCAGTCTTGGCCCTGGCTAGTTCTCGCCTCAAGACCTGCCGATGTGTCGTCGCTGGGATAGAAACTACATATACATAACTAATTACTAGATATGTGGGATGGTGATCAAGCCAAAAAAACATGGAGACATACCAAACAAACATGATGAAGGGTAAAATACGACTATACTATAATACTATAGCTTCCAACAACCACAATATTGAGACAATATGTGATTATGTGATTTTCCCAGGTCTGGGAATGCTCCTGAAGATAGATGTCGCTGGTCTATCGAAAATTTGCTATCGATTGAACCGGTCTCCCAATCACCATCTGTTGGCACTTTGGAAAGCCACCATGCCTTACGAGGCATGAAAAATCTCCCGAGTTCTGTGTTTTCAAGGCTTGTGAAAGGCAAAAAAATCATACAGTACCTGCGACTCAAAAACATCGACGATCCTTCTGGCATGATCCATATTCTCAGCGATGATTTTCAATAACCTGATAGGACTGGGCGCACTTAAATGGTCCCAAAAAAGGTCCCAACCCCCTCCCGCGCACCCCTTCCGCGAGACGCTCGGGCGCGCCCGGTGCGCGCCCCGACTCTTCCTGGGAACTCGCGGTGATCCCCCAAGCTGTGCAAGCTGAGGAGGTCAGGATCTGTGTTTTAAGAGGTTAAACCCGGTCCCTTAACCCAGTTATGAAACCGTCCTCTCACTTTCAGTTGGAATCAAAACATAGCGCATATGAATATGTATATGTCAATATATATATATATAATTATATATATACATAATATTTATATATATATGTAATGTGTATATTATGTGTGTATGTATATATATAATTGCATACAAAACAAGGAAACACACACACACACATTCGAGTATGGAAAGTGTACCGGAATGGTTTTGGGGCTCTCTGATGCAATTTTTGAAGGTTCAATCAATCCAGTAATCCAGCACAACAGTCCCTTCGATGACGGACATCGCAATGGAACCACATACCCAGCCAAAAATAATGGCTAGAAATCCGCCATAGATCATCTGGTTGGTGGTATACCTACCCCTCTGAAAAATGATGGAGTTCGTCAGTTGGGATTATTATTATGATTATTCCCAATATATGGAAAAATCATCCAAATGTTCCAAACCACCAACCAGCCAATGTTCCAAATCATCCAATATATGGAGTTTAGGGGATTCATCGGCAATTTTTGAGCCGACGAACGTGACGGTCCTGCCGCGCGAAGATGGTGAAACTGGCCTTGGGACGAGCCGCCTCCTGACTGCCCAGGGGGACACTGAAATCATCTGCTTTTCTTGGGAAAAAGGCAGAAACCATGGGTTTTTACATGTTTTTGCTATCGGTTCTGGGGAGTGGGAGGGCTGGGAGGAGGAATACTGTAGCATCCAAACATGAAGTCCTGTGAAATCAAGCAGTTGGATGACTCCCGCGCCTTGTCTTTTCTTGCTGGGATGCCTTGGATAGCCAGTTCCGCACGGCCTACACAGTCTACATGCATATATGATTCAATGGAACATATTATATATTATTTGAAGGCCGAAGTCGAATGCACAAAGTATGTTGAATGCATGTGCGAAATCTAATGCGGAAACAGTTTCGATAACATATATATATATTATATATAAATATATATTCTATGCAACATGCTCCATTGGTTTTTCCACAACTGCCAGGTGAGGGTCTCTAGGCTGTAACAAGACATCTCGCGTCCGTTGCTGGGGATCACTGGATGAAAGTACTTGAAGCTCACAGTGCGCAACTGGTGGTTTTAACATGTAACCTATCCCCAACATACTTGTCAACCAATCATCCCAAGTATGGCTGAAAACACATGACTGGTTGGTGGTTTTAACAATCTTGAAAAATATTAGTCAGTTGGTATGATTATTCCCAACATATGGAAACATATATTCCAAACCACCAACTAGATGATGAAAACACACAGTTTTTGACCCCCCCAACGTTGATCAAACGTTGATCAAGGCACAGAGGTAGATTTCCAGTTGCAATTCCTCCCCACGCGACGGGCCACGAATCACTTCCAGGACCACCTAGAGCAGATCGGAGCCGGCTCGAGATGCGTCATTTTGCATGGCATAGGTATAGGATGAGCAGAAAACACCGGGACATGTATGAAACCAAGCACATGTATCCGTGAGAATTTGGCAACGCTTCAAGACCTTGGCGGTTTTCAATAGAGAATAGCTGGTAAAAAGGATGTTCATCCAGTTCACCTCTAAAAAGACAAACAAAATCGTTCTGACCTTTCCCCACGCATTTATCAATTGAACTAATCACCAAGACCTACGGCTGAAAGATCGATTGAAGAAACAAATGTATGAAGGCTTTGATACTGGAAATCTGCCAGTTGTTGGTGTGTCAGGATGGTGCTTTCTCCAAATCCTGTTTTCCTCGGGGCATCCCACCCAGGGAATGCTAAGTGGTCACGCCGCTGTCCATGGAGGGGCAGCCCATTTATGCTAGGTACTTGGCCTTGTGCTATGCTGATTGTCGCAGTCCCATTTCAGCCCGGAACCATTTATCAAATAGGGGTCTGAGACTTGCAAATTGACATAAACCATATTGAACCTGTCCTTTCAAGTCATGTCCAATGCTTTTTCTTCATTTTTCACATATTTTCCACTCACACAATGACACCATCCAGGCATATCCAAAAATGATCACTGGAACCTGCGGATTTCGCAGGCTGCCGAAGCCGCTGGAGAAGCCTGGCAGCGGCAACATTTCAAACAAACACAACATACTAAAGATCCTTGGAGAGGGCCCGAGTTTCTGTGTGCAGCTGGGTTCAAACTGGCACATCCCAGGGGCTTTGAACTATACAGCCTCAGCCTGCTACATCTGTTGCTGGTTCAATGTCACGCCTTATCAAGGATGAATTTGCGGAGGTTCGCTCCAGATCTTTGACATCCCTCCAGCGCCTGAAGTCCAAGATCCAGCACACAGAACTGAGGACTGCCAAAAGTTCTGGATCTCTCCTGCTGCGCATGGCACCCCGTTCCTCCGAAATTTAAGCTGATGTCTGACATGGAGCCTCATGGAGCCCAAAAATAAACACAAGTGGCCATTTCCAAGGAGAATTTCATGTCATCTTCCAGACCCATTGGGGGGTGAGGATTTCCCAGCAAATTCCCCTTTGTCAGCCTGTGATTCGCCCGAACCCCTTTCCGAACTGAAACCATAGGCTTTCCAAGGATGATAAGGATGCCTAATGTAATCTGAGGCATCCTACAGAATCATCATGTTTTTCAACCAATGGCATGGCAGCACATTGCGCTTTTCTCGGTACATTCTTTCTCAAAAAACAAAATAGAACAGAAACGGCCCTAATAGATCTAATAGAGATAAATGATAATATAACTACTTTTCAATTTTTGTGGGTATGTCTATGTTTACTATGTACTCCGTGGACTATCCACTAAAATCACTACAAAAACGTGATAAAATAGGTGTATCGTTTGGGGGTTTTAACATCGAAGTGTTGAAACGTATCACTAAAAGCATGGATTCAATGGATTATATTATCATTTTGGGACTATCCGCTAAACATAATCTAAACAATCACTAAAAAAACATGTTTGTTTCACTGCTTGTGTAGTTGCTCGATGTTGCCAAAGCCTCGAAAACCGAGGCACTTGGCATCTCACAGGCTCCAGGCGGAAGCGAGAGCTCTGGCGAGGATTTCCTGAAGCAGCTGGGGGTTCAAACATGGGTTAGTATATAAACCATTGCGGATATTTAGAACATATGGAACCATATATCTGGTATCATAGCTTCAATATTTAATGAACATATAGAACCATAGCGTATCCCATAAAAAAAATGGCAAACCGCACCATCTGCGGAAGACATATGAACAAATGAGGTTAATCATTAATGCTAAGATTTCACCGGCACGAAAGGTAAACCTTCACATCTTGGACCCTTGTGGAGCCGCAAAACAAGAGGAAATTGAAAACCAGCAAAGCACGCGGGTAAAATTGGGTGGGAAATGATTACCCTTTGAAAGTCATCTTGGTGCTCCCTTTTCCATCGTCCTTTCCAGCAATTTTTCGCAGGCCTGGGGGCAAAAGCCTCCAAGGGATCCGAAGAGTAAACCAGCAGCTGCGGTGTTCTCTCACAGTCTTGGGGCTCCTGGAACGGAAGTCACCGCCGCGAAGCATCAATTTTTCCATGTGGATCGATTTGGGTGTGTCATGCTTTGTCTGAACATCTATAAGTTCACTAGGTTTGTCTGAACATCTATGTTATATAACTACCCTAAAATAACCTAAAAATTAAATATGGCAATTTTGTGGATCCACCCCATTTTGTATCCCATTGGCTTTTCAGCAAGGGGACGTCCTGCCACATACAAGTGATGCGCAAGTTCCCAGTCAGCCGTGGGATGTGGATGCGCAAGGCACCTGAAAAACGGCGCAGGTCTGCTGGAGAATGAATTCCAACTTTCCATGTGGCAATAAATGCAGGAAATATATGGAAATATGGGGATTGTATATGAGTACATCATTGTTTACATGAATAGTCATGGAATACTTCATGTAAACACTGAATTATAACAAGTGGATTAGCATGTATAACCCACTGATAATAATGATTGCGGTGATTATAAGTTGGGTTATAAGTGGATTAATGCACATGACCATTCTTATATATAAATGTTTATATCCCAACTTATGGTGGTTATTACCATGGCTATACCCATTAATTCCAAGTGCACCACCAAGGCACCCATAGCTTTTGACATCCAAACATCTCCAAATACTATCGAATGGTTGGGAAGGGTTCTAGTGTGTTCTAGTGAGATATCTAATCAATAGGGCACGGCATGTCTAATCATCTGATCATCAAACATAGTGAAGCTGTAAACCAGTTTCTTACCATTGAGCTAGCGAAGAAAAAATGTAAGTTGTATGTGAGCTAAAATCACCCGTACTCACAGATTGAAATTGTGTCATGTCATATTCATATACCCATAAATTTGACAGAGATCCATTTTAAGGGACCCAAAAGAGTGTGTGTTACAAGATGTTAGACCCACCTTCCTAGAACCAAACCGGTGGTGGAATGTGGTGATTGGTCATCTGGGTGGCAGCCACTAATAAATGGGCTTTGTTTAACCATGGTTGCAGGATGTTGCAGGGGTTATTATCAAGTGATATCCCATCTTTATGGAAGTTATTAGTACTGTACTGTATGTCATTGATATCATAAATAACCCCACCCCCAAGTAAGATCCCATGCTGATCATGTTTTCAGGCTGGTGGGATATGGCGCCCCGTCTTTCCGCCGTGGCACCCGTGCGTTCGTTTCGCACGCGCCGGTGGGGCACCAGAGGCCACAGGTCTAAGCAAGGCTCGCTGTGTCGCAGCGATCTCAGCGGTTACAGGGTGCCCAGTGATGGGGCTAGTTCCCCATTAACTCGTTCTATCCCTCAAACCCAAACGTTAACTAAGTTGTAAGTCAACTTAGGGGGCCTCACCTTATTGGTTATTTGACCGTCTGCTATGGATAATGGCCCATTTATATATCGTATAGATGATACACATGATGATTTAGCTATCAAATTGGATGAAACGTAGTTCACACATAGTGAACCACTTCTAAATAGAGATAATAAGGACTTGAATGAAACTGACTTAACCAACCATAAACATTCATGAATGGGTGTTCAAACGATGCACCAGGAAACCTCATGAGACTTCATCAACCATCATGGGGAATAGATGGCGGAGCATGCAATGATGCGCCCAGCAACTGGCGACCAATCAACATGAGCATGGCAACTTGGATTTCCGGAGAACCACCATATGTATATATAAAACATAACCCCAGCGGATTCCCGATTTCTGGTTGTGATGAGCCAATGGGAAAATAGTTCAGATTGCGCTCCCTCGGTCGTGGATGGTTGGTTTTTCCAGCGTACCCAATGCATCAATTGGGCAAAGGAGAATATGCGGTACCTTTGAACAACACCCAGTCCGCATAAATCTAGTATATCTAACGCGAACATCAAGACACCAACATGTCTGTTGTTTAAATGCTACATTTCTTTGTTGTGATCTCTTTTTCCCTTCATCTTCACTCCTTGAACGGGAGCCAAGTATCTCTTCCTCATCGCCGGTGATGCAAATCAAGACCTGCCCATGGTGGTGGCAACTGGCCACAGGCCAAGCATCCACAAAATGGGAGATTTTCGATTGCACAATGTTCGCTTACTGGAGGGTACCCTCTGGTAGCCTAACAGTTTGCTATTGAAAATTGCCATAGAAATAGTTTATTTACCCATTAAAAATTGTGATGTTAAATAGTTATGTTGGTTTACCTGCGGGTAACTTAAAAAATACATGTACAAGAATCTGTCCAGAAAGGGGTGAACGAAAACATGTTGAAAACATGTTCCGAGCTCCCAATTAGTTGGTGGCTTTGGTTTAAGACCCAAACGTTCACCAACCGTTATAGGTGTCAACTCAGCCGTCATAAATCAGCGATAAATCTGGAAATCCTCCATTTTTGCTGGTGATTCATCTCGATGTTCTTATGGTTTCCCTCCATTTTCCCAGGGTTTTCCCATGGTTCATCCCACCAATCCGTGGCCTCCGTGGCAGCTTTGGGACAAAGCCAGAGCGGCATTGCCGCGGTCAACAACGGCCAGCGCAAACGCAGCCGTTGAAACCAAGGCTGCGTGGCCTGAGGTGAAAAAGCTGGGATTACTGATGATTTGATTGTAATGATTTATAGTAGTAGACATGAGAATTTCTAAGGTGGGATTTGATTGTACTGATTTCTCTCTCCATCGCCCTCGAAAGGGGATTTATATTAATTGATTTATCATGTTTTCCCCATTCTGACTATATAATTATCATGGTAGCATAATTGGTTGTAGTAATAAAAGCAAAATGATACAAGTAATGTATACATGTATAATAGCATATGTAACAGTAATACTAGTTGTGATTTATGATTTGTTATGATTTATCATATTTACCATTTAGTTGGGAATGAAAGCCGGGACTATCTGACTTTCTTTGCCGATTTTGGTATGTTCTGGGTACTTTAATGGTATATCCATGCTGTGAATTGCAGTAACCCTCAAAATGATAGAAACGCAATTATTCAGTATGTTTGTAGGATTTTACTTTCTATCTTCTTGGGATTTTGCTGTTCTATATAATAATAATCATCGCTAACCATCCATAAAACGCATGACAGGACCAGATCTCACTGGCAAATTCCCCCTGCCAGTGCCTGGATCGAAATCTCCGTGGCCTCGCCCCAAATCGATAGATACAGAAACCGAGTGCCTGCGCCGAGGTGATCGGGTCCAATGGAGGCTGCAATGATCCACAGCATCACAGGGTGATTTCCAATGACAAAACGAAGAGTATACCGGAAAAAAATGGAAAAAAGCCATGTTTTTTGCGATTTGATGGGGTATACCACTGGATTATGGGGCCTCCTGGTATTTGAAAAGAGAAACCCCTGTGGCGTCACTTGTATTTTTCTTTACCATTTTTGCACGTCCCGTTCCCGAAAAACTGGTCCCACCAACTGCAGCGCCTAGTTCATAGAAGTCCTTCTGATGCAAGTTCAAGTCCACACAGCCGCACAACTGCTTTCCTGAGTGCGGCCCATCGTGCTATGGTGGAATGGTCCGGGCGAAGCGCGAAGCGCTGCACTGGTGCGATTGTTGACCATCAGTTTTTGCACACCCAGGTACTGCACAGAGATAAAAACGATAATGAACGTCATCCCGCTATCATCAGAGATTGAACACATAATTGGAACGCCTACAGACCATGTAAGAATATGCAAAAATGGCATGAGTGTGACCATCCCACAGTATGGGATACCCAGTTCAACTTTTGACCATGGGTTGTGTGGCACGGTTAGTGTTACTTCAGCATGGAAGAGGTTGCAGGACCACTCAGGGAGTGGATTTCATTGGGATAGTCAGCTGTTCTGCTTGTTCCAACAAATGTGCTCCATGCTTCTTGGAATGCCACTGACCAAAACTATGATCACTATGGCGCCTGGGTCCCGACTTGGTGAGACGATTACATCCCATCACATGCCATGAATTAAATTCATCAGTTCATCTAAATCCCATGATATATCATGATATCCCCATGGCTTTGGTCAGTTAGGGATCAGGGGCCTTCAGGGGCTGGATCAGTTCATCTGATCTGCCAAGCATCGGCACTGGGCCTTGATCCTTGTCGCATCGGCGACCTGGTGCGAACTGAAGGGCACCTCGGATGCTGGGAGACGGACAAGGGATGATTTCCCCTCTGGTAGAAACTTGCCATAGAAATAGTTTATTTATCCATTGAAAATGATATAAAATGATGTTTTTCCATAGTTATGTGATGTTATGTGAGTTTACCGGAGGCTATCCAAGATCGAGTTTTTTGAGGATGAGTTTCTTGAAACAACCTGGGGTTCATCAGCTTGGGACTATCAAGAAAAAGAGTTTCTGGCTGACACTTTGAGGCTGAACGGAGAAGGGGGGGGTATCCAGTGGAAACTGGGATTTGTCCAGCAATCACAAGGTCTATAGCAGCCTTTAAAATTGGGGCAGAAACAATCATGATGAGTTTCATCGGACTGATCAAAAGAAAGGCTCCCAATTTCATGCAATGGGGAAGGTCAATTGCATTCAATTTCTCTTCAGCATCACCATAATATGGGGGTTTCCACAAATGGAGGTACCCCGATAGCTGGATGGTAAATTTCATGGAAAATCCTCACAAAAATGGATGATAACTGGGGGTACCATCCATGTTCTGACAGCCGGGGCGCCAAGGTATAGAGGCCCCGTGGCAAGGCCACAGACACCAGATGCTCGGCATGACTCGTGGAGGCGCTTACGTGCACTGCAGCTTTGAGGTCCAGCTGGTGCTTGTCGCGCTGCTCCTTCGAGGCCCGTTACTGTTGGAGCTTCGACTGGCTCTGGATCTCAAGTGATCTCATACTTTAATGTCAACCCTGGATTAATAACCCCCAAACGGCTGTTTAATTGGGAGGGTACCATTTAAGTATCAGATTATGACTGTTGGAGGAATCCTTAGTAATAAACAATGGTTGATTAATCCAGGGTTGACATTACCAGCTTTACCAACCATCTTTCACCTTGATTATCTTGATTAAGGGCCACCCTGTGGCCACCCTGAAGCCCTGTCACGTTGGATCACCTTGGACCCAAGTGGAGACACCTGAAACCTTCGGCCATTGAAGGTCACAGCGAGGTGGTTTAAACTCATCCAGAAATCAACCAATCCAAAAGCGGGATTCAGACTCAAACCAGCCAAATGGGTACGAATGGGGTTCCACAAAGTTACAACAGGTCCCAGCTATAAGGTCTATATCCACAGTATATACATGTCCCACATTTACGTCCATGTAGATCCATGGCAACAGAATCGAGGCAGTACCCTTCACCCATGGCCAGGTGTACCTCAGGGCACTCGCAGATCCAAAAACCCATCTGCCCTTCCGGCGAGGCATCGGACGAGGGGCACTTGCACACCTGTCGCCACGGGCAAGACAGGTGGTCAAAATATATCAATATGTGCATCAAATGTCTGGCTGAGGGAAACAGGACACAATAGGACATATGTCTGAGTATCATTGAGTATCTATAGATAACAACCATGTAAAAATCAAACGATCATATCTGTAAATCAGCCAATGGGATGGAGTTGAATCGGAGTGTTTGATGATAGGGGAACATCTCAACTGAATTGCCAGCTCAACCAAATCAGAGAACGATGATGACAACTCGACTATGGCCGACTTTGGGAAGGCTCAAGTCAGGCTGAAGGGAAGCAACTTGTTACTGCATATGGTCGCCGGGCTACATCTTCCAAAGACGAATCGGGTGTTTCAAATCATATGCCCAAAGGCAAAATCGATGCTGGGAATGCCAAACACGTCCATTCAACTACAACAGCCTCCCAGAAGCTGCTATTTCATGCAATTTCCAAAGATCACCTTCCAGGCGCTTTGTTGGTTATGGAGTTTCCAAGCCATTAAATTACCTGAGAATCAAGTGGAAAGGTCAAGCAAAATGGTGCCCCGTACTTAGAGTTGACTTTGCGAACATGACCAGGTTAACTAATTTATTGTCGTGTTTATGAATGTTTATGATAAATATATCGAGTTGTATGGGTTTATAAACCAACAAACATAATTTGCGGGGAGTCAGGGCCCCTCAACTTCAATGCCCAAGCACTGGCAGCGCAGAAAGAGCCAAGAAGAGTTCGGTGTGCTCATCGAAAATTTCCAGTCGCACTTGGGGCCTCTCCTGTGAACACAGCCGGGTTCGCCAAATATCCCATCAGTTTCACTGTCAATTATTTTTCATAAGGGAACCATATTCTGGTTCCATGTCCAACTCAACCCTAGGATCTAAATCTTTAGTTTTTATTCATCATATTGGGTGTTTCCAAAAAGCATCTAGGCTTTTTGGCATGGAAATGGACTTAGTGAGGGGGTGTAACTATGAACCCCAATATTGGATCCATATTGGATCAACCCCCTCATCCTTTCAAATACACGGTATATAATATACCCATGAATTCCCCAGGGATGAATAGGAGTAACCCCAACCATTAAATCGGGGAATTGCCTGGTAGAATTGTAGGATTCTATCAAATACTATCAAGACTGGTACCCACCCTATGGTAAACTGCTGCTAGCATGGATAACTGGGTTAGATTCATTGTCGATGGTTTATGCATGTTACAGAATACACATAACACCCACTAGAACGAACCTTACTGTTGATAATCTATGCAGAATTATCCCTTTATTGATGTAGTTTTACAAGTGGTAGTTATAGTTGACGTTAACACCCCATTGTGAATATTGCATATAATATAGTCCCATCATTCAATTGTATCATATCCATAATTATCCTCTTAGTAGCTGAGTTATTTTCCCATTTTGATAGTTGTAAAATGATCCATTGCTACTTAAATCCCATAGCATACCCATTTTGATGATTGTATCAATTATATCCCATTATTCCATCCCCAATTTTCAGTTGGACCACCGAAATATTACAGACATGTATCCCATGATATGGCAATATTTAATCATATTGATATTCCACTTTGATCACTTTATTGCCACATTATGTCGCATTATGCCACATTATGCCATATTATGTCATTTTGATACCGCATATTAATTGCCACACA